TTTAAATATGAGCTGTATAAGAATCATTCATGTTTTATTATCAACATATCAAAATTGAACATAATTGTGCAACGCTGCTATGATAAAATGACTTCTAGCTCCCACAACAAATTTTCTAGTTATATATATAATGCTTTTTTTTCGTTAGACATCGATCGAATTTTTCTGATCCTTTCTTTAAGTCATTATCTTTCATCAAGGGGAATAGTACTTCCTTCAGCTAAATTAACTCTCGAACTCTTTCGTTATCTTCTACTTCTCTTTTATTGATCACCTTTATACTTTCTATTACCTCCGATTTCACTTTCACCTCTTCTACAATTTATTCCGTTATCTTTATTTTTGATTCTTTAACCTGTTTTCTCATATCCACTATAGCCTCCGGTGAAGTATACTATTTTATGCCATTGATCTTGTTCGTCAATTAGACCTTTTCTATATTTATTAACCGTCTCAACTACCTTTTCTTCGAGGATTACTTTCGTACTTTCCTCCTCTTCCATCTGGCTCTACAACTTTACTCTCCCCCTTGTTTTGATATTAATTGAGTGTTCGACGCCGATGAATTCTTGACGCTTTCCGTACAGAAAATATTTGCCTCCGGACCATTCCACTTGAGGTTAAAAGGTTTAATTTTATTTTTATTTTCGAAGAAGAATTAAGTCCTTTAAAATTTTATCTTTCGATTTTCGCCCAATATCACTTAATCCCGAATAGTTAATGAATATAAATCTGATTTCGGATTTGATATAAATTATAATCTCATAATCCTCGCATAAACCAATAAGAATTAAAATCATTATTATAAAATTTAGCTTTTGCTAACTTTTAATTCTTTTAATATATTACCACTACCACTATTATTTGTAATTATCGATAATATACTTTATTTTAATTTATCATCCAATCACCTTTGAACTATTACGATCCCTACTAAAAAAAACTTTTTGAAATCTAATCTCCTTTAAAGAACAAAATTATTAGTAACATAATCCATTATAATTTTGATTTTTAAAAAAAATATTATGAAAGCAATAATAATAGTAAAATTAGAATTAGATTTCATTAATAAAAAAATTCAAATTCTTTTAAAGTAATTATAAAATTAAAGTAAAGAATAGGAAGGGATTCAATCAATTTAATAATATTATCTAAAGATAATTTATGATATTTCGAAGTATTTAAATAAAAAATATTTAAAATTTGAATTTGAATTTTTTAAAATGACAAGAACGGGTTATCTCATAGACAGATTTTTTTTTAAATCAGAAAATTAAAGCTAAAGTGTTTCCGAAAATGGTCAAAGAATTTATTTTATTAAAACATCTATACTAAATATGCCATTATTATGATGACGAATAAATAGTAACTACTAGTAACTAGTGTACTTTTGAATACAGTGAGTGAGCTATTTATATTTAATCTTGTTTCAGCTGGATAATCAAATGGATTTAAAGATCCTTTAGATTATCTGGCCAAAAGGATTTATTCTTTATCAAATTTGATATTTTAAACTAAAAAAATCAACATTTTATACTTAGAAACTTTAAGTTCAACATTTTTAATAAATAGAAATTAATTTTTTTTATTTTTTTTTTTAACAATATATTAAGTTTAGATCCATTTTTATAACAATTTGTAAATATAAAATTTATTAACTGTTTAATTGTTAATTATTATCTATCTGTTAACTGTTAACTGTTTAACTGCCTGCTTCAGTTTTTAAGAATAAAGTCTCTTTAAATACGTTTTTTTTTATAATTTTTTTATGGCAAATTTTGGGAAATTCCATTAGTCTAATGATCTATTAGTCAGCCAATCAGATGATCAGCACTTCCAATTTTTTTTTTTGTTTCGGTCTTTTAAGACCGATTTTTTTATATTATTTTTTTTCGATCTTTTTTTTTAGACCGTATTGTTATTTTTTTTTTTCACTCTTTTTGGACCGAATTATTGTCCTTTTTTTTTTTTCTTTTTTTTTTATCATTAAATTAAATAAAGAAATAAAATATTATATTAAATATATTTACAAAATTATTGTTTTTTTAAAAAAATCAATATAACATGTAGGCCAACGCTGATAGAAAGATAATTAAGATTTCTTTTTCAATTAAATTGAACGCTGGATAAATAGTTTGATTTCCAAATTCATAAAAATCAAAAAAAATTTTGATATTTTTATAATATTATTTTATAATTAATTAATTAAAGAAATTGTTGATTCTATAATTGGATTATTATAACCAAATCAATATCCGGAAAACAAATTTCAATACATTTAATTGTTCAAATATTTTTCCCAAGTCGGTTTAAGGTTGACGTAATATAAAATAATAAGAAATAATTATAAAATGTTTTATAATTAATTAATAAAGATATTTGCAGTATTTTCATATAAATATTAAAGTTTTTTCGAAAATACTTCTAAAAAATTAATCAATTTTTATTGATAATTATTTTTTCACAATTCTTCACAATTCCTTACAATTCCTTAATTAATCCGAATTTCATTCCACTCAAACGTCAAATCATTAATATATGGGTGACTGCTAGTTATAAACTAAAAAAACAATTATAAAAGAAAGAATTTATAAATTTTACATTATGTTTTATCATAAAACAAGTTCAAAATAAATTATATTGATATTTCCTATATTTTACATTAATTATTAGTCAGCAGGTTGAAGATCACAATGTGCTGACTCATTTCTTTGTTATGTCGGATCATTAAAATTACAGTAGATTCATATAAATTATCAATCATGTAAAAAATATTTGTCACATTATTTATTATGCGAACTTTATTGTGGGGTAATTTTAAAAAGCAAATCAAAAAAAATTATTAGAGGAAACATTACTAACGTTTCCTATATTTTTTTTTGTAGTTTAGCATGTTTTGACTCATCAAAACTTAAAAAAAACAAAAAAAAGAAAAATACTTTTTTTTATAGGACTTTCAGCATGTTCGACTTTGGAAAATGAAGTAAGTTTCGAAGTGTTATTTTTAACTAAAAATAATCTAAGTATCAGTGACCACCTTTGATGGTATAAGTGACGCGTAACTTTGTTTTTAAGTAAAAATGGTTAGAAGACACAGTTTTAATCGTAGAGCACGACAAGATCTTAGAGAGTCCATAGAAGGTCAAGGAGAAGGGACCAATGTCAAATCCAAGGTACGTATGACACATCTTTGGCGTATTTACGTAGCGGCAACCAGCGGCGTTTGCGTTAGAGGTAGTCTTACCATTTGTATCTTTACGTGTTTATCATAAATGGTACCATGTAGGTCTATGACCTTGTACCTTCATTTCACCTTGTCTACCATGTAGGTCTTGACCTTGTAGGCATTGCAGACGTTAAAAATACTCGTGATATTGATGATGTACTCAGTTTTACTGACCATACATTAGCTAACATTTCTAGGGAACCCCACCCTCTTGTTTAGAGGCTACCACTGGTTCTGGCTTTGGATGCCATTATATGAAAAATAGTGGTATGTGTAGATTTGCGTAACTCAGTTTTTAAGTAAAATGAAAAAAAGATTTATAAAGTACATTATGATAGTAATGGTAATAGGACAGGTTTAAATTATTTTTTTTCTAATTTCTTCTTTTTAGGAAACATTACTAACGTTTCCTATATATTTTTGTAGGTTTTTGGCGTGTTGGTAAGTTTTGGCACGTCTAAACTTTTTAAAAAAAATATCTTTTTTTTAAATTTCTTTTTAGGAAACTTTTCTAACGTTTCCTATATTTTTTTTGTGTAGGACCTTCTGCATGTTCAACTTTGGGATCTTGGATATAGTAAGTTTCGAAGTGAATCATAAAACTTTGATTTTTTTTATTAGAAAACGTTTTTTAAACGTTTCCTTCATCCTTTTTGTAGGATCAGAGAGTTCAGAACGGATTAGTAAGTTTTGTAATATTTCATTTCGTTTTGAAACTTAATAATATTTTTTTTTTATTAGAAAACTCTTACTAATGTTTCCTTTATTCTTTTTTTTTTAGTTTTGACAAACTTAATATTGGAAAAGGGACTTTAAATGGTAAGTTTCGTACAAAACTTCCTTTTTTTTCTTTTAAGAAATATACTAACTCTTTTTTTTTGTAGGCCTAGATTAAATCTTTCGGCTCTGGATTTTTCTTTTGTAGGTCAACTTGGATGGTTAATAGGTAACTTCGACCTGGATTTTTTTCAAAACTTTAAGCCTATTTTAATTAAAGAATCAGGTTACTTTAATAATTTTGGAGGTTCGTGCTTTGGATACTCGGTTGATGTTTTGTGTACCTTTATTAATATTTGCAGTTAGTATGATTTTACTACAGAGATTGTGAACCGTAGTTACCTATGACAGTATGACATCTAATAAATAGAAGTCTGTTTCGAATATTTCCAACTGGCATATAAAGCCAAGGAAGGGTTACTTTTTCTATTTTTTTAACTGCGTTGACTTTGTTGTTGGATCTTGGTGATGACTCACAAATAAGTTCATGTAAAATACAGTATAAATTACTATCACGTGTAATATGATCAATCATTCATGTGTTCACGGATAAAATCGATTTATGATTTTACGTCAATTTTTTTAAATTTTCGTACGTTTTTTTAAAATAATTTATTAGCTCTACAATAATAAAATTAGCGCATCTAGCGTTCAATTTATAAAGGAATATAAGCATAAGTTCTTGAAAATAGCATTATAAAAAATTAGATCCCAAATTTCCTTCTTTTATGAAATTCAATTTGGGTGGATTATATTATAAAAAAAAAATAAAAAGGGAGGCCTCTCTAAATATGTTGAACACCAATATATTTTCTGAGCATATGACGATTCTCCCGTGTGTTTTCGTGCTTTGGTAATCCATATGATATCAGGAGAAAATCTATATCGGTATCTTTAATATAACAAATGATTTATTTAGTAAATGATTTGAATTTTTTGATATTTCATTAGTATACAGACCAGACATATCACGAATGTGATTGACAGTTTGCGGAAATCACTGTGGTACATCTCCATTTTCGTTTGGAATCTGTACTAAATTCGCGTTCGGATCGATTAAATGAGAGTTAGTACGTAATCTTGAAAGATTTCGTGAGTCCCTAAAAATATAAAAAAAATTCAATCACTTTATCTATTTGTATAAAATTATCATTAACACTTAAAAAATCTACATTTCTGAGAACTTTCGGTTGGTGTCGGAAAACTTTTTGTTGGTATCAGAAAACTTTTGGTTGGTGTCGGTCTCCAATCTGGAGATTTTATCATTGATTTGAGTGTAGAATGCATTGCTATTTCCTTTCTCATGTCGTCTAACACTTGTTTGAATAGTTTATTGTTGTTTTCTAACTCTTGTTGGACTATTTGTTGGATTAGTATATTGTTGTTTTCTAACTCCTGTTTGACTAGTTGAACTAACTCTTTTTTGACAATAGAAAAGAATTGCTCAACTTCAGTAGTTTGTTGATTCTACAAATAGAAAAAGCAGTATTAAGTTTCGTTTTTTTTTCTTTTACAAACATTTTTGGTATTTACCATTTTTTTATTTTTTATTCTTTATGTATTATCGTAATTGAATTGGAAAATTTTATGAGTTTAATGAGTTTAAATAGCTTTTTGAGGAGTACAGACTTTTTGATAATAAAATGTTTCATACGGTTTATAATTCCTATAAATGGTTTTGAACAATGTAATTGCGGTAAATCTCGCGTAGTACAGGTGATGATTTTGTCACATGGACACGTGATAGCGGCAGCCGCGTCTCAACAAGAAATTTTTTTGTGGTCTGATAAGTAAATTCATGTAGTAATTGTAGTATCCTATAGTACATAGTATATAATAAAGCCAAATTAATGAATATACATATTTAACATCATTTTTGATATTTTGAGAAAATTTTACATATGAATCATTCTCTCAGCATTAATTGAAATATTCAAATATTAACTATGTATATAGCATAGGTAATTAGGTATATAGCTAATATTAAATTAGTAATTATTCACTTTCATTAATTAATGTTGTTCTATTAAAACCAAATAGACGGCAAATTCGTGCAATTGGATGGCATCTCAGTCCGACTATATGTATGGCGTAGCAAAATTATTATACTTTTTTATAAATTGTACACGTGTAATAATTGAAATTAATGATAATCTATCGATGTATTTGCCTCTTCTCAAGTAAAAATAAAAATAAATAAAAATAAATATTTTTATATTATTTATAAAGAGTATATTAAAATTTTGAAAAATATATATAATACTAGGAATTAAGTTGTATATAAATGAATGAATATTAGAATGTTTGCAATAAATAACATTCCCAATCACGAGATTGGCGATTTTTCTGCTAGTAAACTTACATGTAAATCAATATCTTCAATGAACTTCCACTATATGACTGTTATAGATGATTTTGTACTCACTAAACCCAAGATATATATCTAATAATTGCATAATCCTGTAATTCATTAACTCGAGCAGCAGTATATGAAGAACCACATCAGCAATTGATGAGTGAATAATGGAAAATGAATGATTGTTAAATTATGGATTGATATTTATTTTAAAAACATATTTTGTTTAACTAAAATCTAAAAGTACATTTTATATTTAATTAAATTAATAAATTTTATCAATTTACTTCTGTATTTCGATTATATTTTAGTGTTTCATATATAGATTTAATAAAATGATATAAATTACAAAATATTTTCTAGCTAGTGATTTAAGTATAACAATGTGATAAAAATTATCTGAAAAAGTTAATTCTGAATTTCTTAAAAGCAAATCTTAACGCTTTATAATCAAAGTGATTACACTAATTCACTATTATGATTTACCTGAATTAATGACATAACCACACACATACAGTATAATAGTAAATAATACTGTATTAATTCTAAATTATCTTATCATCATCCATTGAAATTGATGTCAATCACCAGAAAATCTCACATCAATGAGTCAGAATTTTTCTATCTTCAGTTGAGAGATGTTCCCAAAGCGATACTGTGGCATAAATTGTGAAAAAATTTGCCACTGGTCAGCTGTAAAGTTAGAAAATCCTTTCCCGCAGTCGATTTTGCCAGGAATTCGCACCGTATACCAAAAAATTTTGACATTTTACATTCTGGTTTTTAATAATGTGTTACTAATATTGTCATTATACATAATTTTTAGATGTTCCATATCTAATAAACATATCCTCCACAACTTGTTTATTACACTTGAATATTTCCATAAATTTTTCTACATTATATTTCTTTAACACATCAACATCCTCGTGAGTAACAAGAGATTCATCCAGTACTCTCAGTATTACACCTATTGATCCATTATAAATTCCTTTAGAAAAGTATTTGTTATTGAGAAACATGACTCGACATCCTTCCTTTAAGATGACCTCAGATGGATAATTTGTGTGTTTGTTGAACATTTTATCAGTTTCGTTAGTACTTTTAAGTTATCCTCTAAGTTAAACATGATTATCAATCGAACCCGTGGTCAAATTTAAAGAACAAACATTATCAGCTAAACCAGTGGTCAAATTTAAAGGAACATTATCAACCGAATCAGTGGTCAAATTTAAAGATTCATTTCTTAAATGAAAATCTTTACCAAGTATTTCTTCGTAACAAAGGTCAGTCTTCGGATAAATGATGCACTAGAACGTGAAGAGCGATGTCGCTTCTTAAGTTGTTTTGGCATCTACACAAGCAAAATGGGTGTTAGCCAGAAAAATTTATTGCTAGCCACCATCCAATATTTCCTATACCTGTTTTATTTATATCTTTAAAAATGATTGTTGTTTTTTCCGGATATATGGCGCACTAGCACGTGAAGGACGATTTCGTTTCTTAGTTGTTAGGTGTACATCAAAACCACCATGCAACGTATTCCTATCCTAGTGACACTATTTTATTTGTACATTTTAAAATGATAATAAATATAATATGAAGTATAGAAAATTAATTATCGTTATGGAGTAAAAGTGAAATATAGTAAAAAAAAAGTGATATATATATATATATATAATATTTTTAAAATAAAAAATAGTGAAATATATTTTTAAATAAAAAAAAAGTGAAAAATAAAAAAAAAGTGTTTGATTAATTGATTGTTAAAAAAAAAAAAAAAATCTCTATTATATATTACTTGGAATCCCAAATTGGCAATGAAAGGAACGAGGATTGATTGATTGATTGATTGATAAAGGAGTATTTGGGCTGATCCGCAGGACCGGAGAAATTTTTATTATTTTAAATAATATTATTATATTTTTCTTTTAAAAAAAAAAAGATTCTTAATTAAACATATACAAATTATTTAAATTTAAACGGGACGCGTTATATCTTCAGTGGTATCATACCTGCTTAATTAAATTTTTATTTCATTTTAGGATAACTAGAGCAGGTAAATTAACAAATTTGATTGGAGTGACAATTATAGTCTAGATAACGAGCGACTTACGATGTGATAGTGATGGTAAAGTTCAAAAGTTATGATTTGGAACTACCCTATAAGAGTATACAGATAGTTTATATTTCATTTAGAGATCAAATAGATTTTAATGCGAAAATTGGTAAATGTGATTGCTATATAGGGTGGTAATAATAATGTATTTACCAGGTAATCAATGATATTCTTCAACAAGTTCTAATTATTAATAAATCGAAATTGATAATTGAAATATTACAAGTTGAAAAAATTATGGGAGAAATAATATTACTTTATTTTTTTACCGAGAAATGAAATATCATTATTAAAATATGAAACAAGAGGGTTGACACTTGATACATTCGATAAACTAGTTGTAGCCTTTTTAATTTTTTTTTTCAGATAGGACAGAATTGAAGAATAAATATACTTTTCTTATTTCAGAGCGGAAGATCGTGAAATGAGTTTATTATATAATAGATCAATTCATTAATTTTAACAGTTCTAAAAGTTCTTATAAATCAATCACTCGTATAAATCATATAAACATACTATGCACGGCCGTAAAGTTGGAAACCATGTTTTTAAATTACACATTATTAAACTATAACTATGCATGGTAAATCATTTTAAATGTATTGCAGATATATCACTATAACTATTGTAAATATATCATAACATCACAAAATTATCTCGATCGGTTAATTGAGCATGTGGTTATCTACCTAACTGATAAGCTCCGGACTACGTAGCGGTTTACCGTTTCCCTAGTTATGTATATTATTATGTAAATCACATCTAACCCATTGTCTAGAGTATTGATGCGAGTATATATACTAGGTAACAGGAACTGTTGGAGTGTCTGAAGCGTTATATTCTTCACATGACCATCTAAAAAAATATCACTAAAAAATGTATCACTAAAAAAATGCTTCACTAAAAAATGTATAGTTAAATGTATCACTGAAGTTAAAAAATGTATAGTTGAAAATTTTTGAATGCCAAACCATTTGAAGACTGACGCCGTATGACAAGAATATCAAGCAATGATGGATTTCGAGGGAGGTGTGTTGCAAACTCTAATACATCTTGTGAAGGCAATATACCAAAGCAATGGGAAATATCTGGGCAATTAACATTTCTTCTATTTCTGTTAATCCTTTTAATTCCTCTGGAACTTCGCCCTGGTCCATATTATTATCTGCAGAAAACTTTTTCAATGTATTGTTCCCTGTATTGTTCACCTTCCTGTTATCACTATGGCAGCGTTGACAACATTCTCCTTTTATAAGTTCAACGGATGGAAATTGTTTGTTACATTTAAAGCAAAAAGTATGTTTAAGTTTATTCATCTCTGTTTGAAACTTATACAGAAGTTCTCGATCAGTTTCAGAAAGCTGCTGGTTGACAGCATCCCGATTCTGGTTTTCATTCTGTCTATTGATGTGGTCATTATTATTTTCTAAAACACCTCTCGTTCTCTTACTACTCTTTTATTTACGTTCTCTGCTCAGCCACGCGTCACGCTGATCTGGTGTTTCTGGTGACCTTTTCATTTGTTTATTTTCTCGATTTTTTGAATGGCGTATTTCATGATGTTCAACAGTTTCATTTTCTCTGGATATACATTTACGAAGTGTTGACAGGTTTGTTATCTGTTCATTTGCTTTTTCTATTTATCGAATTGTTTAATTATTTTTTATGGATTATTTATTAATTTTTTTTTGAATGTACAATTTATAGACTGACACTTTAGAAGCAACGGTTTATTAGCAAAAGAGATATTAATTTTCAAATTTTTATTTATAATAGTTTTTTCTACATAAAAACCATAAAAACATTAGTTTAAAAAATTTATTATATATAGTACCATTATACTATATATTAAACTATTTAAACTATTTTATAATTAATAAATTATTTACGCGTTTATCTGTTACACTGATCCTAAAATTTCATTGGTTATATACGTGGCGTGACAGACGGACATTGCATGATATCGAGTTCAAACTACGCTACGCTTCGGACAATAATAAATGTAAAGTGGTCACCAGAAGTATATTTAAGTGGCGTTAGTTTAATTTATTGTCCCCAAAATTTTAGGGACTTCCTCTATCAGAAGTATAAAAAGACCCACCCAAAAATTTAACCTGAATTTTTCGATTTATTACCTTGGTAAATAAAACTCTTAAAATCCTCCAAGACATTCCCAGTACAAAGAAAAAAATTGGCCTTCAATATCATTTCTGAACGAAATCATATCCGTTAACAATAAACATAAAGGGGTAAGAGAGTATTTTTCGATTTTTTGCATTGTCTGGCGTGATAACTTTTCGTTTTTTTACTTTATGTCCAAAACAGGTACATAAATATTTCGACTATAAGCCTTCCGAATGGAACATCATTGAGTTTTTAAAGGAATGCGAGGTGGAGCCATTCGACCGAAAGATAGACCATTACACTAAGGACTTAGAGAACATTGCTAATTTTGAAACAGGTGGCAGGCGCGAAAGAGCGCAGATATTGCTTGATAACTATAGGGAGGCGAGTATAGAGTTTTTTATCATTAATAGCAAATTAAATATAGGAGGAATTTTGGTTTGTGACAACGGCTTGCTAGGTCGTACTGTTACGAAGCACAGATGGCTTGCTAGGTTGTCTGTCGCTCAATATTCCGATATTCCGTCAGGGCTCAGGTGGCTTGCTAGGTTGCCTGACGTTCAAAGGCTGATAGCTGATTTGATGGGATGGTTAATGAAAGGAGAATTTTACATAAGTTCGTCAAGAATATCGCTAATTAGCTAAATCTTACATTTTAGGGCGTTCGGCTAGATTATCATCTAGCAAAGGCATGGGATAGTGGACGATCATATAATCAAATTCACTGTCACCAACCGACATTTATGGACGGTGGGACTATTAATGCTGTAAATGGAATTGTAAATGGGGCTATAGCCGGTGGAACTTTCATTTCCTGACGGTACGAAGATTACAAAGCCATCACCTATAAATTATGTTGAAGGTGATGAAACCGATGATGGGATTCCTTCGAAAGAAGCTAATGACTATAGCGACGATGATGAAGAGGCTTTACCTCCAGAAGACTCTCTTTCTTTTGCCCTTTCAAACTCAAAAGTTTGGACTTTGCCTTCGGGAAAGAACGTCGGTGACATCTATTCCTAAAAAATATCTGAAAACGCACGCACAGTAAAAAATAAGAAAAGACTTACGGCAGTCGAAAAGGCTATATTGCGATACGGCGCCTCGAGGATAATTGATTTATCCGCTCACATGAAAAAGTGGTTTTGCGAAAACGACAAAAAGTTCATTAAGAAAGACTACGAATCTATGTTGCGAGTTCCTGAAATGACAGATGAGGAGAGTTCATTTGTTCTAAAAGTCAAGGATGTATGAGTTTTGTTTTTCTTAAATTATCTTATTTGTCTATATGGATGCATATACTTATGAATTCATTACTCTATGTAGATGGTATATAAAGGACACGTAAGCCAGGCATATAAGTACTGTACGGAAATCCATTCAAGTTCAATCGAAGATAGTTACTTATATAAAATAAGTAAAATATATGGAGATTTGTGAGTTATTTGATTGCTATCTAAGATATTTATTTTTTCGTGATTCTTATTCTCACTATTCAACATACACAGCATTTACAAGAGCAAAGACCGAGAAGATATTTTAGATTTTACCACAAAAAGTGCACACACAGAATTAGACGTAATCCTAAAAGCTTGTGCGTACATTGTCGAGGGGCTTAACAAGAGCCTCACAATTTATCCAAGATGGTTGGTATAATATTGTTTGCTTTATATTCAAAATAATATAGCCATTTCACAAGTCATAATTTATAATTTATGCATTCAAGGGGCGAATCATTTTGTCCCTTAAGTAGAAGTGCGGATTATATTAATGGGCGCTAATGTGACGTTCGTTTCATGACAATATTAGGAGTCGATGTGGGAGAATGGGAGTTTTCCGCCAAGGCTACAGCAACAAAAATGATTGGTGATCGTTGTCGTTCGGCCAGAATAAACCAATCTATATTGAATGGTTTATTAGAATACAATCTCGATGACAATCAGGTCAAGGATATCCGAGTTCCTTTCTTACAATTTGCCGGAACAAACGGACAATTATTGATTGAAGACCTGATGGAAGGTTTTTATGTCGTTTTACCCGGACCTAAATTTGAGTTACCGACGAAACTCAAGAGTATTGGAAAATTAAAGACATGTATTGGCGTAATTAAATTAGTTATGGTGAGCTTATGAATTCTATTTGTCATCAAAAAAATTTTTTCCGGGACTTAATGTCTCTGAAATTTCAGTCACATGACTTTGATCATTACAGTTTCAAAGTTACATGAACCCGATCATTAACATAATCTATAATAATATTTTGAATTCTGCATCACTAATCTATTATAATATATTGCGCAGGAAATGTATGTCAAAACATGCAAAACAATAGAAAATGTAGAAACATCACATAACGATTTCGATGATATTTTCGATGTTGATGTTGATGATGAAGACAAGTCTATCACTCATAATAATAATAAATACAATTATATTTGTAAACCGTGGTGGACCCCTAAAAAAAGTAATAGTCCGTAATTTCTTAGGGTGCATTTTATTGCTATCTGCTTTGCTTTTCTCAGAATTCTTCTTCCGTGCAAGTAAACTTTGTTTTTATCTTTTGAAACTTAGAATATTTTAATGCTTCCTTTAGAGATATTTAGATTCATCCTTTGCTGTTTTTTTTTCTTTCTTTCTCTATTCTTTTTGCTTATATCACGTCTGAATACCTACTTTTTTTCTAGTATGTATATCAATCAAAATTTGTATGCTGTCATGAACTAAGTGACCGGTGTTTCAAAACAGAACGCGCACGTGATTTTTAATCCGGATTAACTGATGGTTTTTTTCAGATCTGCACCTATATAATTTAAATAGATGGGTATCGTATGATCTGTTTGTCTCACAATCACTTTATTTTTATTTCAGAATTTTTACATTTATAATGATATAATGATCATATAGTAACATTAATAAATTATATTTATTGGGCATCCCTATAGGATCATGTTATTTAATTTCCGCTCAATATTGCTAACGCATTACGTCATTTACCAAATATCATTTACATTAGTTTAGCTTAATACTGTACAGCAATTTGAAAAACTGTTACTTAAACTATATTAGTATTATCTATTGAATACAAATGTACAATTATTGAAAATTGATCCGTTTCCTTTAAAAATATCCTGTAAAGTTTCAGTTTCATTTATTGTCAATTTGTTGGATTTGTTAGAAAATGGAATTCGGCTTTCTTGATTGATTTCAGCTAATTTTATTAATAGAAATCAATAAAATAAAATAAAATAAAACAAACTATTAATAAATTACCTTTAAAAATTTCGCGTGCACTAGTAAAAGTTGATTTAAGTTCAATTGGTGTTAATGCTTGCTTATCTGGCATTGAAAAATGTGGCAAAGGTTCTAAAACATCTAAAATTCCATATTGTATAATTAGTATATTGAAAATCAATTTAAAAATTAAAATTAAAACTCACCCGAGCCTTCCATTTGATCATTATCTATAAGAACGTTCATTAAGTTGTTTAAACTAACATTCTGCATTTTTTCTTTAGTTCTTTCATAGCTAGTTAATCCTGAATTTGATTTATGCCGGGTAATTGCCATAACTTCATTGTCACTAGTACCAAGTTCTTTCAATATTCCTACTAAACTTTTTCGGGNTGATCACAGAAATCACTACTAATTATAAATTTCCTTTCCAAACCAAAACCAAAATACTTGTTTCACAAAAAAAAAGCTGTGTCGATCATCAAACGCCAAAATTATTTCATTATACTCTATATCTGATATAGGTGCTTCATTGAATTTTGACAGTCAATCAATATCATTATCAGTAACAACATGCATTAAAAATTAAAATTAGAATCAATCACGTTAAAATTATTTAGATTGAAAATTTTTTAAAAAATGTATTATCCAATTAGTTCAGTTGCTTTAAATCTGTACAAAAAAATTATAAAAAAGAAAATTTTTTCATTATTATGTGAAGAAAATTTATTTATTAACAAATAAATTCAATTATAATATAATCATTTTTAAAAGTAAGTTATGTTTATAAAAATTTCAACTTTTAAATATAAAATAATTATTATGACAAAACAATAAATTAAAGCTTTCAATTCTATTTTAACATCATTTTTCCTAATAACATGTAATTTTATTGTTAAAAAAAAAATTGGTATTTAGTGACATAAATATTTTCTCGAAATTCAAAAAATTTAATAATTTAATAATGATAAGGTAGTTACACTCAAAAATACCGTAAATTATCTTAAATAAAATCAAGAAAGTTGCCTTTAAAATAATTGACTATGTTGATTTAGTATCCATTATCTATGAAAAATAATTACAAAAATTATTCCTATATTAATAAATAAAGTAAGAAATGAAGCTATTTAAAAATATTTTTCTTAAGCAGATAAATGAAAGGTGGTCAGTAGAAAAGGGCAAAATCCAAAGTTTTGGTCAAAATTTTTTTATTTCCAATCATGGACACGTGAACAAAGTTAGCTTAATGACTAAAACAAATAAATGTTAAATATAACAGCAAGCTTTGATAAACAGTAAAATTTTATGGGAATTGCTAGTTTTTTTTTAAATATGTTACATGATGTACAAGTAAATTTATTAATTGGCTGATGGCCGATTTTTTTAACTTAGCTAATTTTTGATCGGCCAAACTTAAAATTTTATCACAAAAGATATTTAAAAAAATTATTTTTCAAGCATATTTGTTCAAAATAATCTTATCTAATGAAATTTTATTTGCAAGTATTAAATTTAATCACACATTTTCGATTTTAAAGAAAAAAATCACTGTATTTATTTTTAATGAAGTGATACAAATAAAAGAAAAGATAAGTAAATTACCATGGTCAAGAATAAAGATGCCAATAAAAAAAAGGAATAACAATGGAATAATGGAAAGTAATAGAAGATGAAAGGGAGAGTAAAAAGAGTAATGAGTGATAGGAAACAAGCAAAAAGGAGTAATAGGATACGATGGGAGATGAAAAGGAGCGATAGGAGATGAAAAGGAGTGATGGGAAGTAAACAGGAGAGAAAAGAAATAATGGAAAATAAAAAGATGTAATAGAAAATAATGGGAAAAGAAAAAAATGGAATAATGAAGTAATAGGAGGTGAAAAATGATGAGAGACAAAAAATAAAGAATGATCATGATAGGAGGTTGGGTAGCAAAGGATAATAATAAAAAATAAAACCATAACTGATAAAGTAAAAAAAAAATGAATATATAGAAAGTAAGTAACGGAAATTGGCTAAGTAAGTAACGTAAAGTCACATGATTTATTTACGTTACTCCCCTTAATATAAGGCACGTAACGTAAAGTGAAATTTTTTTTATCTTACGTTACGTATCTTATATGGTTCACGTGACAACGTAAGTGATTTTTTGTGGCACATCACGATCAGCCTATTTGTTTGTTTACATTTTACATAACTCCCTCGTTTTTTTCTTTTAATGTCAAAATGTCAAACAAAATCTTATAAAAAGATAGAAAGTCAAAGACAATTAAGTTTGAACAATTATTTAGGTATAAAATTTGTTTATTAAACTGCCTGTCATATATTAACTGTTTTATTTTTTGGTTATTTTGTATACAAAAAATTTAGAGTATAGTTTTGATATCTTTGTTAAAGTTAATTGTCTTTTGGAGATAAGTAAAGCTGTTTAATAGGTATGGTACTATTGGATTACTCAAAGATCTATTTTTACTGGGTTTGGCTTTCATATTTGTGGAGTTGTAATTATTTTCATAATAATATTAGGACGCGTTACGCGTAACGCGTTTATTTACTGTATTTTAATTTATAAATAATAAAGACATTAATTAAAGCTTATCTGTTATGTTTTTATTTGTTTTATGTTTATTAATAAATTATTAAAATAAATAATTTTTATAATTTTAAAAGTATAAAATCAATTTTCTTTTATATTTAAAGGCATAAGAAAATCAACTCTAATAGTATGAAAAATTCTTTTTTAAAATAAATTTTTTACCAAGATAAATATGCAAAAATTGATAATATAAATCACGTGGTGCTAGATATGGTGAGACAGGTGAGTAACGTAAGGTAAAAAAATTTTATCTTACGTTCCGTGCCTTAATTAAGGGGAGTAACGTAAATTAACCTAAATTAGTAACTTTACGTTACTCACTTAGCCAATTTCCGTTACTTACTTACTACCTACCGAAGGTAACTGAAGTTAATAACCCTAATCCTTTTTGAACGAATAAATACAAAGAAATTCAATTAAATAGATTCAATACATTCAATAACCTAAATAATGAACAAATGAAAGTGATTATACTAAATGAACTGAAATTTACTATTCTTGAAATTCCGTATTAATTTCGTTACTAATTTTAGTATGCTTTCCTGTTTTTGTAAATAATAAAAATTATTACTTTATACGTATAATATTATAATTAACCTTATATATAAATAAGAAGTTACTTACTATTAACATGAGTTTCATCTTCAAAATTCCGTTTTCCTGAAGGATTTACTTTTGAAATTAATTCGCTTAATGGTCTGCTGGTATAAATTGCATGCTGAGTGTTAGAATTTTGAATTATAGTGTCTCTACTTGGCCTAAATATGATTTAATTATAATTATTAGTTCGATGATATCAATAAAAAATAAAAATCTTTATATAGCTTTATTCATACCTCTGAATATCATTTATATCAAACTCAAATTCTTTTGTTACATAATCTAAGTAATGTGTTAAATAATAATTAATTAATAATAAGTAATATTTGCGATTTTTTCAATTAATGCTTTTTTTTATAATTTAAGATATAAACTAAGTATTGCATACTTTGCCTCAATGAATTCATCAATGAATTAGATGAAGATTTGGAAATAAAAGAACTTAATGATCTACTTGTATAAATTGCTTTTGAATGAGCTTTTTCACTAAATTCTTGACCAAGCAACTTAGATTGTATTAATTGTAATCGTATTTCTTCAGCTTGATTAAACTGATTGGCATCTTTTCCCATATTAGCCCAAAGGTTAAGACTTTCACAAAGTTTTTTTGCTGAAGGTCTCTTTTTAGGATCAGAATTCCAACATTTTTTTATTAAATTCGCAAAATCTTCAGGAGTATCATTTGTAATTTCAGGTCTTTTTCCATCAATAATTTCATATATTAAATCAGTATCATGTTCAACATTGGCAAAAGGCTTACAGCCAGTTGTTAATTCCCACATAATCATACTCATACTATAAATATCTGTTGCTTTCGAAAATGCATCTCCCTTGAAAACCTCTGGAGCAACATATGGTATAACTCCATATATTTCATTTCGTGATAAAGTATTATTTGCAGGTTGTGATAATCCTAAATCTCCAATTAAATATTGATCAATTTTACATAATTCATTTTCAATTATTTCAACCAATATATTTCCACTATGAAAATCTCGATGTATAAAATCTTTTTCATGAATAGTTTGAAGCCTAAAATAAAACAATTAAAATAATTAATCAATATTATAAAATATAGTAAACTTTAAATAAATCAAAATTATAAATACCCATCTGAAATTCTCCATAAAATACATAATTTTTTCTTCCATGTAATCTCTGTAAAATTCTCTTGTAAATAATTATGTAAATTTCCTCCATTTGCATATTTCATTAAAAACATAAATTCTTCTGTAATAGGATTTTTTGAAATACCATGACATTTAATAATATATTCAAATTTATCATCATAACATTGATAAAGTGATTTGATCTAAATTTTTAAAATATAAAATAATAAACAAATATACGAATTTCAAAACAAAGTTTTAGAATTAATAAAAATTCACCTCGTTTAAAAAATATTTACTGGGATCTTGAGAATTTGAAAATTCTTTTATAGCAATAATCTTTCCACGGATTGACGCTTTATAGATTTTTCCATATCCACCTTCTGCTATTTTCTCTAAATTTGTAATTTTCGAATATGAAACCCATTTTATTTTTAGTTTTGAAGAAAAGATAATTTATATTACTTTTAATAATATTATATATATTTAATGGACTGTAAACCCCGTTTATATTATTAATATAATCAGCAAACTGATTACTGACAATAAAATTGACATTTGTAAGTTGCAGAAATTGATCTACACTATTATTTCCACTGATATTAATAGCTATAATTCTTTTGCATTTTTTACATTGAGATTGATCAATAAATCCAAAGATAATATTTGTTGTTAAACAATATCTACATCCAGTATAAACTATAAAACAATTTAAACATATTTTTTGACAATTATATTTTGATTCTAGAGGCTTGTGACAAATTATACATTCATTATAAGCATCTCACCATGGCAAATGAAGAACCGGAATATGCTCTTCAGTCAAAGTCGATTCTATAAATTCAAAAGAAATTAAATAGCAATCTGGATACAATTTGTACTTGAAAATATCATTATGATCATAAATTAACTTAATTAACTTTTCCATATAACTGAAATTAAATTTCTGATTTGTAGTTATTTGCTGATTTGGAACTACTATTTGTTTGAAGTGTGAAATCTCAGAGCAAGTTTCACACCATTCTTGAATGCAAAAATCTAAATTCCTTGGTTCATGTTTATTACAGCTAGCATTGATTGTTATTACACATGCATCCAGGTTACCAATTGTAGTTTTAATATCCGTATTACTAGTTGCATACTTAATATACCATTGTTGCAATATTTTTGTTTAAATAGTAGTGTTTCAGAATAGTCCTTTTTACAACAATAACATCGATCTATATCATTTCTAAAAGGGATAAACATAATTGGTATAATTAAATCTAAAGAATATTCATTATTTTCATTTGCAATGTGAGAATATAAAACTTTTAAAGGAAAATAATTAAGCTTCTTCATAAAATCATATATCTCCAGTAAATTAGAATTTTTATCAATATTCTTTACATAATTAGCAATTTGATTATAATTGTAAGCATTTAGTTTTAGAAAATATTTAAAAATATTTTTCATGTCAGGCATGTTAGAAATTAATGATACTCTTTTACATTCTATACATTGAGATTGATTTGTGATTCCAAAAATAATATTTGTTGTTGAACAATATCCACAACTGGTATAAATTATACTATAGCACTCTAAACATTGTTTTTGATAATCTGGTATAAATTTTAATTTTGAATCACAAACTATACATTGATCATGAGTATCCCACCATGGCAAATTTGAAATGAAATAATACCGAAAAATTCCGAATTATCACTAATCACCGCCTTATCATGAGTATCCCAACATGGCAAATGAAGAATTAGAACAGTAGAAATTGATTCTTTGCATGTAAAAAAGATTAAAGAACCTTCGTTAATTGTAAATTTCATAATGCAATATATTGTACCTTAAGAAAGTTTCGAAAATAAAAAAAATTAAAATTGAATTAAGAAAGCTTCAAAAATAAAAAAATTTAAAATTGAAATACGGCAAAAGGCCCTAAATACACTACAAAGAACCTTTATAATTGATGTAATATCTTCTAAGTTTTTAGTGTTAAAATGGCAAAAGAGTATGGTTACACTTATGTTATTCAAGAAATTTATTATTAAAGTGTACAACCAAACATGATATAAATAAATAAGGTGATATAATCGTATTCAGGGGCAATTTTATTGAAAAAATTATTTCCTCATTTAGTGTTATTATAATGAATTCTATTTGTGGAATTAGAATTCTCCATTATTCGAATTAAAAATTCCAGAATTATATGAACAAAAATTTAGTGACATACTTTTAAATCATCACAGGCCACCAGATTTCCACTGTCTGAGGGACTTGGATTTTTTTTTTGAGTATTTGTCTTCGTCACTGTTTATTTCACGTGTTCGTGCATAATGCCGTAACGCTGTCCCTGCGCTAAATTTTTGTCGGTGCGACCGAGAAGTTCGATCAATAGAAGTTACTGCGCTAATTCGAAATGAAGTAATACTGAATTGTCACTAATCACCAAAATTATATTATCATGAGGATGGAAAATGAAGAATTGGAACAGTAGAAATTGATTCTCTCCATGCAAAAAGATTAAAGAACCTTCGTTCTATAATGTAATACAGTCGGTGTACCTTAAGAAAGTTACAACTTACAAAATTAAAAAAAAATCTAAAATTCACATCACTAAATCACTAAAATTTTTATATATCCATTCGAAAAAATTATTTCTCCATTTAGTGTTATTATAATGAATCCTATTTGTGGAATTAGAATTCGAATTATTCCAAAATTCTATGGAAAAAGTGATTGCCGATCATTAGAAGTTACTGCGTTAATTCGAAATGGAGTAATACCGAAAAATTCTGAATTGTCACTAATTCACCGCCTTTTGGCGCAAATTATATTTATCGTGGTGAAATATTACGAAAGTGACATATAGTATTAGCTAATATTTTAGGGGCGAGAGGACGAGAGGTTAAGCAAAATCTTATGTGACACAAAATTAAACATATTGAATATTATTGGTTAAACTCATAATGGCGGATTTATGAAGTACCTCAAAATTTGTCTGTCATGTCAAATTAAATAAATATTTGACAGTCACAGTGAAATTCGATAAACCGGATCTTCGATAAACCGGATTTGGGCAGCTATAGTAAAAATGATTCGATAAACCGGATCACATGATCATTAACCAATAAAATTTAAGTAACGTGATGCGGTGAATCTTAATTTTGGCCAGAATTATAAAAATCTTAATTCCGGCCGAAGTTATATATTACTTATATATTCAATTTTTAAAAATATTTTATATTCATTTTCATGACCTCTATGACGTAAAACTAAGATGAAAAATTAAAATATAGTGTATATTAATTTTATTAGCATGAATTTTTTTTTAAAAAATTCAGTATAATAGATTTTCAATATATCGAAATTTTTTCGCTATACCGGATATCCTGATAAACCGAATATTTTTAGTGGAACTGATTGATCCGGTTTATCGAATTTCACTGTGTATTTTAGTCACCAAATTTCTATTTAAGTCTCAAATATATTAGTGAACAGTCAAAATTGAGCTCTAAAAAAATTTTTTGTACCAAATCTTGCGTCTAATCAATTTTCCCACTATCTAACCAATTTTTCCAGTGTTAAAGGCGCGTCATTATTTGACATTTTAGTAATTAGTATCACATGTTTTCTGTTAATTTCCGAGGGTTCTTGCCAAATTTCATAAATCCGCTGCAATGTAATATTAGCTAATATATGTCTCTGCACTGCCCTAATGAGATAATTACAATTTTTCGGGTATTACTGGATAGTTGTCTATAGAAATTTTATTAAGATATTTTGTACAATTTACCTGAGGGGGATAAAAAAAATTTATTTTCTTCTTTTGAATAAATTTATTTTAAAAATATAATTCACCCTTACTATAGCGAACATTGCGGACTAGAAATTAAAATTCGCCAAATTCTCAATAACTATGGAATAATTCACTACATAAAAAACACAATAATACATACATGGCTTGAAGAAAAAATCAACATATGTCTTTTACTTTATTGATTAGTATGCTGCCAATGTGTCCTCATTTTTTTTTTAACCTCATCCAGGTTAGACACTCTTAGACCAGGTCTAACTTTACGAGGTGACGCAGTTATGTTTAGTGGCTATACATTAGTGAATAGTTTAGATTTTTTTACTTTACGTTATTTCTAGAATGCGTCATTGTAAAAGTTTCATCCTAAAATAAAAATAAAATGTTAAAAAAAAAATAATAGGTACAGAAAACTTATTCTCTAACTTTTTAATAAAAGCTTATATAATAATATCTTTATTTTAGAATAATATACGTGGTACCAATGGTAAGGTATTAGTAATTTTAAAATTTCGGGGAAACATTTATTACGAATTGTAATAGCTCAGTTATATACGCAATCTATTGGGACTTTATTCTTATGTCGATAATAGTATTATAATACGTGACACATTTTCATTCAATCCCTCGGTCCAAATGACTACTACAATAAATACATTCTTGTACGGGGGGATCCGATATTGAAACGCCCCTGCCCAATAACTGCACGTTATGACTGAATCGTGTGTAACGAAAAAAAATTCTCTAAAATCCTTCTTGTTACCGTTATTTCAAAAAAAAAAAAAATTATCTAGTGAAAAATATTTTACGTGTATTTCCTAAAAAAACATTCAATATATCCTTACGTAAAGGTTCTATCATAACATAATATTTTATAATAATGAAAGATATGTAGAAATAGACAGATAAGGAGAATCGTAAAACACTTCGTGACTAAAGATCCAACTGTCGTGATCCTGAGTAAAATTATCTTGAACGTACTTCTCTTAATATTTGAGTTGAATCTGATCTGACAATGTTTATCAGGAAATTATCGTCATCGTTTAAGTGTTCAATGTAAAGTTAATATTGATATTTATTTATAAATTACAAATAAATATAATATAGAACTATTTATAAGCAATCAATACAATAATTTTGTTCCATAATAAGTATTCTCTACCCCTGCATAATTATTCTTCAATTTTTATTGGGGGTCTTGTTAATACTAAATTATAATCGTGAATTTGTAATATCCAAATGGAAATTTCTTTCATTCTTGGCATTATACATTATACGTGCCGATTGATTGACGCACCTGTATTGCTACTGCGGGAAAAGGATTTGCATGTTATGCTGCTATATATCTTATTGATAGAATTTTATTTTTTTATTGTAAAACGTTATTACCCAATTAAAAAATTAAAAAAAATATAAAGTTTAATAAATGCATGCATGCGACCATGGAATTTTCTGATTGTTTGTAACTGAAAAAATAAAAATAGGAAAAAGAATGATAACAGATAATATAATAATTGAAACATATTATTTTTTTTCATTTTAAAGTTTCATTTAAAAAAAATAAACATGATTAAAAAGAAGTCTTTTAAAGAAATCTTTGATAACAAAGAAAAAAAAAAAGGTCCTTATTCCCTTATTCTCCTTGCAGATCCATTATGTTCATATAAGATAATTCATTGTTTCACATTATTATTAATAACTGATTTCGGAATACACTTTTTTTTTAATCGATCTACTAAAAAAACTTATAAACTTAACGTTCAATCTTTAATCAAAAATCCTTGAATTTTTTACTCTATTAGTTTTTTTAAAAAAAAATGTATTCAATTTATAAACATACAAATCCAAAATTCTTGAAAAATCCTATATCGTCATAATAAAGCCACAGATCAAGTGAGGTGCTTGCCAAGAAGTATTACAATGTAAATTACTTTTTGAATTTTCATAAATACAATATATAATATTAATTTATTATCATTTTATTTTATTTCTTTTTTTAGTGTCAAACATTGAACACCATTAGGTGCCAAAGAATTAAAATGATGATCTTTGATAATTCTTTTTATCACTTTACGGAATCTGTTATTACAAATATATTTTGATTCTTGCGTCATTAAATTGTATACTCTTGGGACGCTTGTTTATGGAATTTCGTAATTCCTGAACCACTGACAAAAAATTTTTCATGTTCTTTTGTTGGTGGTTCAGGTATTACGAAAATTTAAATCATTTTTTTTTATATAATTAATAAAAATTTTATCCATTAACTAAAAAAAAAAATTTCAAATGAGTCCATTTTATTTATACATGATATTATCCATTAACTAAAAAAAAAAATTTCAAATGAGTCCATTTTATTTATACATGATATTGAAAACATTTCATTATGTAAAAGTGTTAAATCGTATCGTTAAATAATAATATGTTGTTGCATGACGCTTTTTATCGTACCGACGTAATCTTATCATTTACCATGACTCTTATTACGTTTTAGTTGCTGAGCATGCTTAAATACTGACAACGATACAACATTTAAAATTTAGCGATTAATTATTAGCGGTAAAAAATGTTTCAAGATGAATCACAAAATTATTTAGTTGTGTAGTAATATGAATAAAGAAATATTCATTACACGGATTATAAAAGGTATACAAAATGATTCATCTTTAAATATCAAAATAATACCATAAATATACTTTTAGTATATGTATTAAACACTTACTACCATTTTTAATAAAATATCTTTATTATAAGATATATCGATATATTTTCTCGAAAGGATTTATTTCGTCATTCTATATAACAATCCCTTTAGTAATAATTTTTTTGATAAAACACCGTCATTGGATCACGCCTTTCAAGCATTTTTTTTTAAAATCAAGATTAACCTGGATTCTTTTATTTAATCGATAATTATAATATAAAAAAGTGTTGATACAATTTAATAATTGGTTCTGCCCTATCATTAACAATTATGTCCAATATATCACGTGATGACGTGACGACCGCAGCCGGCGTTATAAATAAATAAAAATAAAAAAAATCTAAATCTATATAAATTATACATAAATATATCTGATATATATATAGATTAAATATATAAATTATAAATTATCTTCAAATAATAAATTCCTTCTCATTCCCCTTTTAATATTTTCGAATCATTTAATATAGTTTTCACCAATTTTCTACCTTTCTTATGATCTTCAACAGTTCTACCAACACGAGATTGAGGTCCATATTGTTTTTGAAAAATAAAATTCCAATGAACCATAAACCAAGATGTATGATATGCTAAATTATCATAAAATTCTGGTGCAATCTTACGAATTTCTGGTAAATTTGACCATGGAACCTAAAAATAAAAATAAATATAAATATAGGTTTTAAAAAATTTATAAATTCCACATTACGTTCAATCAATTACCTTTGCAAAATCATGATGTTCATTATGATAACCAATATTCATAAAGAATAAATTTAAAATTCCATAATAAGAATATGTTTCTTGTCCATCATCAAAAGTATAATGTTCTTGAATAAAATGAGCAGCAGCAGGATGTATACTATAACCAACCCATAAACTTAAAAATAAATATAATAAACCTCTCATCCCACAAAAATGATAAATTAAAACATCAAATGTTATAGTAAAAACCCAATTAACATATTCCCAAAAACATGGTTCTTTTCCCATCGCTAAACCTCTAACAACATACATTATAGGATAAATAATTATCCAAATAAATTTTAAAAATGAATTCCCACGAATCAATTTTTTTTCCCATTCTAAAGGTAAATCAGGATCAAATCCTATTACACCTTGAAAAGTATGATGTTCTAAATGATACCGACGAAATGACATTGCAATTGGAAATGGAAGTGCAATATTTGCTAAAAGTCCTATAAGACGATTTTGAAATGATGTTGCTGCAGCTAAATTATGTGTTGCTTCATGAATAATTACCCCATAAAGTTGAGTAAATGATGCTCCCAAAAAAAAACAATATATCATCATAAATATATTCCAATCAACTAATATTTTACCGAAAATGTAAGCTGCAAATATTTGCGCTGCTGATGAAAATGTAACTATTAAAATAGTTGAAGTATCATAACCATATAATTTTTCAATTTCTGGATATCTTTTTAAAATTGAAAGTTTTCTTTTCATATGTGGTTCATCTAAATTATCTATTGCAATATCTTCATCAACATATGGAATTGATTTCTTCCACTCTCCAATATATAAAGGATTTCTAAAATCTGGATTACTTTCTTCCTTTGCAGGTAAAGGAATATCATTAGAAATTTTTGTAAATGGTGGCATATTTTTAAATATTAATTATCGTTTGGATAAAAAAAAAATAAATTAAATAAATGAAAATGTTTAATTTATTAAAAAGAAAGAGAGAAAAAAAAAAAGATGTTGCATGTACAAACAATACCAAAAAAAAAACTCGCAATTACTATATAGGGTAATACCGTAAGATCATCAATCTGTTGAATTACCATGCCACACACAATTTTGAGTAACATTTTACTATTCTACTTTCTAGCGTGTAATGTTAACAATTGATCGACAAAAGCATAATAGATTTAACTAACTTTACTTGGACAAGAACGAAAAATTTCAGCCGCCTTCCGCAAGATGTTTTATTGATAAATTTAGTTTAAATCATTATGATTTTGGTTTAATTCCGGTAATAAATCAATGAAATAATATGGTATGATATTTTATCAAAATATAATCTATTAGTCATAATCTGCGGTCTATATAAATAATCAACAAATACACCAAATACACGTGTTATATATATATATATACAAATTTTTTTGAGTAACATACATTTTAAACATTTACGTATGGATTTTTTCGATTTTCAAGATTTTCTTGGTATTCTCCTTGGTTAAAAAAAAAAAAAAAAAATCCCTTTAAAAATATTTAAGGTTTAGATTAAGATGTCTTTAAATAGAATAAAAGTTTCAAATGAATATATTTATCTAACAAAATCATCCCCTACAATATTATACCCCTCAAAACTCTTAACATTTAATCATACATATTTAATAGATACGCTTCATCATTCTTCATTTTCTCCATTTTCTCCATTTTCTAAAATACCAATAGAAATACTTCCTTATATATGTAAAAATTTAACGCCAAAAGATTTAGCCGCGTTAGCATTGGTTTGTAAACAATTTAGTGAAATAATATATTTAAATAATGAAAAATCTTCTATTTGGTCTATATGTCAAGCTATTTGGAGAGAGAGTAGATTATACGTTTTACCTCAATATAAAAAACCTCCTTTACATATGAGTGAAAGAAAATATACTATTATGATGTATGGAACTAAATGGGAATGGGAATCATTTTATGAGAATTCTTCAATTTTATTAAAGAATTGTCTGACATTTTCCAAAAGTATAATTTTTTTAAATTTTTTTTTAAAATTTTTTTTCTTTTTTTTCTTTTTTTTAAAAAAAAAATATAATTTTATTTTCAATTAAATACTATTTTATATACATAATTAATTTATTAATCAATTTATTCCTTTTCTTATTAGTTGAAAAACCTCATATTCATCCGCAAAAAAATTAGAAGATTCAGTTATAGATTCTTTATAGGAAGTTTTCTTTGAACTACCAAAATTACCTGTCATCCATAGATCACCACATCCAAAACAAGGTCCATTTGAATTAGAACAATAAATCGCGTTACTTGGATAATTAATTCTACTTAATTTAAAATTTCCTATATCATCTTTAACGTTGAAAGAAAAAATAAAACTTTTCGTTGTATTTTGATAATCTAAAGAAGGACGATTGGTCCAAGGATCATCAAGATAAGATCGTTGCCAACTACAAGGATTATACCCTCCAAGAATTTCTTGACTTTCTTTCAATTTGATTAAAACTACAGTTCCAATTTTATAATCACAATTTGTATGAAATATTGAAGAATCAAAACCATCTTTACTACCTCTTAATAATAATTGAAATTCGTGAGGAATTTTATTAAAATCATAATTTTTTTCTTTATTATCAACCCAACTACTTATTAATGCTGCATGAGTTGATTTTATTATATTTGAATTAATAATTTTAATCCTATTTGAAAAAATTCCTTTAGGAAATGTTGGCTTTGATCCAGGTTTCATAAAATATTTTATAATATCTTCATTTAATTCTTTTGGTAAAATTTTTTTATATGGTTTCCTTACTTTATCATATAATTCCGTTGAAGATATTTGAAAAAATCTTATTAAAGGTATACAATTATGTAAAACTTTTTCTAAATCTTTAAAATCTTGTTTAATCCAATTTGTTAAATTTTCTTCTTTAAGATGATTTGTTTTATAAATTCCCCATTTAATAAGATAATTCCATATATCAATTTCTTCCATTTCTAAATCATCTCTTTTTAATAATTGTATCATAATATTTTCATCCAATTCCAAAAATTTATTATGATTACCGAAAATTAATTGTGGATTACTACATATAATTTTTAATAAATAATCAAATAATATTGTAAATGTTTGATGATTTGAAAGTATTTTAAGTATTGGTAAAAGATTTTGTAATAACCATTCAGATTCTTTTTCAATTAAAACTTTTTGAACGTGTTTACATAAATTAAAAAATTCTAATTCATCTGATGCTATTAATAATTCAATAGCTTTGGATCCATGATTATTCTCAAGTGATACTTTCCCACTATATATAAATCTTTTTTATAACGTATTTTTTTCAATAAAAAAAAAAAACAAAAGAATTAAATTATTAAATAATAATAATAATAATAATAATAAATAAAATATACGATTACCTTAAGATGATTTCAAATACATCAGGAGAAATATTCGGTTTCTTAAAAATATAAATATCATTTTCTTTCTTTGCCCAATTACTTGAAAGTGCTGTACGAAAATATGATGATCTACTCCTTAATATCAATGTATGCGCTTTGAATTCTTTCATATTTATTTCTTCTCCAACTTTAATAATAACGTTCGATTCATCTTTATCATCAATTAAACGACCAAAATCATTTGATAATTCTTGTAAATATTCCATTTTTTTTTCCCTTATTTTTTTTATCTTTTTTTTTTTTTTAAAAAAAGAATTTTTTTTTTTTTTCTGACAAGTGAAAATAAGATTTTGTTTAATAATAAATATCGTGAGAATTGATTTACATACAAAGGAAACTAATTTGACTAGTCCGTAATTTAAAAATTTCATCGTCAATCATTATCTTACCTACAAACGTTTCACCGACGGGAGCAATTTCGGATAAGGTTAGAATAAGTAGATTAAGGATTTCAAAATTGTCGGGGAAATGACTATCAGTAAAACTTGTCCAGCCTTAATTAACCAAATCTGATAAGTATCAAAAAAAATTTTTTTAATCATAAAATCACACCACCTCTCGAAAAAACGAGAGAATAAAAGCATTTATATAAAACTAGTAAAAAAAAAATCATTCGAATATTTTATTCAAAATTACATGTGAACGCGAATTTCTTTTCATTAAACGTCATAAACGCCATTGAAATATTTATCATCTAAAAACTTTTTTTTAATGATATAAAATCAACAAATCACACCACTTTACGAAAAACTTGAGAAAAAAAAGTATTACATTATACAAAAATTGCACATGAACGCGGATTTCTTTTCATTGAACGCCATAAACGCCATCGAAAGATTTGTTATCTAAAAACTCTTTTTAATGATATATAAACACTACTTTACGAAAAAAAGCATTACATATACAAAAATTACACATGAACGCGGATTTCTTTTTAATATACGCCATAAACGCCATTGAAAGATTTGTCATCATTACGGTAATTTCAAAAAAAAATAAATAATTTTAATAAATTATTAATTAATAAATAAAAAAAACGGTTAGAATTGACTAGTAAATTTCTTTATCTCTAAATGTTTCAGTTATCCAATTATTCAATTCTAACCATAAAATTTCATTGAAAAGCGTAAGAAATAAATTAACACCAGTTAAGCTCACAAAAATTTCAGCTACTAATAATAAAGTATAATAAGGCATAAATTTACTTGCAACAATATTCGCGCAAAAACTTTGTCCCTTTCCTGATTGAATACAAGTTATCCAATCTCCATCATGAATATTTCTAATAACTTTAACAACCGAATTTAATTCGATGTGATAAAATAACCAATAAATTATTACTGTAACAAATAATAAAACGGATAATAAAAGTTCTCTCCATTGAATTTTGATAGGTTGTAAAATACGAATAATAGACCCTGAGAAACTTGTATTTGATTTTTTTCCTTCTTTGCGCGAGATCTAAAAACAAGTATATTTTTTTTAAAAAAATAATATATAATAAAACGATCTTAAAAAAAAATTTTTTTCACTTTTTTTGAAAGGACAAAAAAAAAAAAAAAAAAAAAAAAAAACTCGTACCCAATATATATAACAAAATGTAATCATATGTATAAAGAAGATTGCCACAACAATAACAACCAAAGGATAGAAGAACATTGCATTAGAAGCTTCTACTTTGACAAAACAAAGTGTAGCAAATTGATAATTGATTGAATTAGTTTTCAATGCTATTATAGTTAAGATAGCTGGAATTCCCCAACCTATAATATGAAGATATACACGTTTATCGTCCATTATATTGGAATTCCACACGGTTTGGACGTGAAGATTAAGAATTATAAACCCAACCCAAATTGCTGTAGCAAGTGAAGAAAAAATAAGTAAAGCTCCTTGAAGACCACAGAAAAAAGGATTATTTGCTTGGGTGCTAGGAATTATTTCAGTTGCACATTGAACTCTTTCTGGATCCATAATAGAGAAAAAAACATTGGAAGAATATAGGAAAATCGACAATGAAGCAAAAAGAATTAATATATTAGGGTGAGTTCGGTATCCTGGTAGTACTACATATGAAAATAATATAATTCCTGAACCAATGACTGAAAGAATTCTTAATATTTGAGTTGCTATGAAACCTTTTTTCATTTGATTGGGTGGATATAAAGCATAGGGTTGAGGACAAGGAACACAACAACCATTTCGACAGAATTCTTTACTAGTAATTTCACTTTTATTAGTTTCAACCCATTTATGATCCTCGATAAGAGGTTTGAAACATTTGGGCCGATTAGAAAGTTGTGAAGAGCTATTACACCCTTCTGTCGGATATTCATAATTTAATGGTGGTGACGTAGTAATATTGCCGTTACAATCACGAGGGAAGAATATATGTGATAGAATGTATTCTTTGATGATCTCTTGAGTTTCGGCTGACGCGTTTTTAGAATTAGTCACGCAGGATTCTATAACATTCGTACAAGTAGATTTACAAGGAGGTATTATTTCGACTTCTAAATTGGCTGTGAAATTAAATTTTTCTTGAATCAATCAGGCTTTTCTAATTAAAAATTTTTTTCAAAATACAGTTACTCACGGGCAGAAAGTTCTTCCATCCGTTTACAACTTGGAAATGCAGTAGCACATACAAAACTTGAGAAAGCTTGTACGCAATTATTAAGAATTAAATCGTCATCTTTGAGTGTTGATAAACCTTGAGCTATAGCAAGGGATCCAAAGGAACTTTCTACACTTAAAATATTCTGTCCTTTAGCATAAAATACATAATCTTCATTTGATTTGTAATTCTTCGTTTAGAAAAAAGTACGTAAGTGAACGAAATTTAATGTGTGTACATATATATATATCAAATTACTATACTTACAACACAAATTCCACCATTTTGATAATAACGACCACATTCTGTAATATTCATATTATTGATTAAAAGTATATCGAAAAAAAAAAAATTTCATTGTAGTAACTTACTTTGTCCATGGACACCAAATAACATACAAAACAGCAACAAAACATTTGGGCACCAGAAAAGTCTCATAGAGAAGCTTATTAATTGTTTTCAATCGGGTAAATAAAATTATAATCCTTTCTAGAAAAATAAAGGTATGCATCAAAATTTTCTCTCTCTCTTTTTTTTTTTGGTTTTCAATACGGTTATGCGAATTTTTGAAGCCCAAAATAGAGAAAAATTAAAATTTGTTTTTTTTTAAAAAAAAAAGCGTCTGTAATTATATAAATTTTCTTTATCTGAGCGAATTCGCATGTTTGATTACCTTATCATATAAAATCTGAAAGATTTTCATTATGACATCTGAAAATTCCCTATATCGTGTCTGACGATCTTATTATCCGGTCAGGAGTATCAAAATATCAAAATTTGCAAAGATAATGGCATATTGTGACTTTTTTTTTTTTTTTTTTTTTGCAATATTCGGAAATGATCTGTAATGTCCCTTATCATTTGCCAGAAAAGTTTCAGATCATCGAACAATTTAACATCCTTATTGATAATGGTTTGATTTCTTTATCATACCAGAAAAGTGAACAATTAAAGATCTACAGTACGTAGTACAGTATTCTTTATTTCCCATAACTTACAACGAAAAAATTTTTCTACAATCATATTGAACAAATGAAAATATTAAAAGAGAATTAAAATTATAGTTCATTGTTTATAAATGTTTTTTTAATCATTATATTATATCTCCGAGTAACTATTACTCGCTGGTTCTACAAAATCTATTGTCATCGGAGAATCATTATCCTGCGTTATTAAAGATGCCACTGACATAACATTATTTGATGGTTCTTTGTGTTCTTCTTTTATATCGTCTCTTTCATCTGACTCTTCCTTTTCGTTATTTTGATCATCAATCATTTCTTCATCTATAATTGGTTTTTTCATCTCTTCAACGTGCTTATAAGCATCTGCCAATTTCGTTTGTATTATATCATCTTTAAGTATTATGTTGGAAGCTTTTCGAAGTTTTTCTGACATTTTATTTAATAAATCGAAATCCAACGTTGCCTTTGCAAGGTCCATGAAAAATGATATATACTCATGAACATAGATAAAATGCCTGCCTGACCTATTAATAAAGTTTTAAAAGCAGGTTTAAATAAATAAATATTTCAAAACAATATTAACAAATACAAATGTTCTCACCTTTCAAATTCAGGTTTCCAGACATTCATAAACGTTTTGGATGTCAACTTTAGATGAAATAAAGGTGATAATATTGTTATGGCAATTTCAGGTTTTTGTTCCACATTAAAGATTAACCACGCATGCTAATCAAGTATCATAAATGTGTATATATTATTAATAATAGTCAAATGTTATTGAGAGTAAGTGAGAGTAACTTACTCTATATACTGGTCGGTGATGCCATTTAGTTTTATCAGCCTTGCGTATATCTTCGAGTTTGGAACAAATAAGGTCGTATGCATTACGGTATTCGGGCTTTTGTATATCGAAAATTCCAAGTTCACTTTGTGGCTCTTTATGTACAACTTCTCCGTTTTCCTCGTCAATACCAAGATATTTTTCGACAATGGATGGCTTTAAGTGTAATGAATTAATGTTATATCTTTGTATTGTATTTTATCAATATTCTGAAAAAAAAATATACCTTTATTTTGTTTTCCATTAAATATTTAGATAATGCCGAAGTCATTTTATATTCAGCATCCAGTATTTTTTCTTGGCCAGAAACACCGGATTTTTCAGGAGTTCGATCTACAGCCAGTTTATATAATTGTATAACCACCTAAAAATATTTGAATTAGTACATAATAACTAATCTTAAATAGCTCATAATTCGAATAATAGTCAGATCAAACCTCTGGGTTTCTTTGAAGTTTTTGGTAACATTTGCCAAGCATATAAGGTATCCTAGATAATAAATTACGTACAGGTAATACATTTTAAATTATAAAACAAGTATAAAACATAATTCAAACGAATATATATTGGAATTACCTCCAATCATGAATTGTTGGTATTCCGTTTTCTTTATCGGGTTGATTCTCAATTAAATATCTTTCATGTTGCATTGCCTTTCCAAAACAAAAGGCTGCAAATGCGCAAGCATCTTCGAAACTTGGTTTGCGCCATAACACAGCATGATAAGGGTTTAATTGAAAGGCATCCATTGACATAGGCTCGGTAATCATTGAATAAACCTGATAACCAAAATCTCTCCAAAAATTAACTTCTTCAGTTGGTACCGATGGTGATTGTTGTCCCGAAAACCAAGTAATCACTTTCGCAGCTCTCGCGTAACAAAGAAACGATTTCTAAGAGAATTGATAAAAAAATTACATGAAGTAAGTTTTAAATTAAAGAAGGGAAAAATTTTTTTCTACAAATATGATAAAATCACCCTTTGATAATTTGCAATCTTTCCTCGGTTATTTTTTATTTCTTCGGCATTCCATGTTAAGTTTTCATCAGCCAAACTTGCATAACAAGCTCCCAATGCATACCACGAAGCAAATCTTAATGGGTTAATGGAAAGGTCATACTAATAAAAAAAATGTATAAAAATTCCATTTAAATATAAGTACATCTTTTTTACATGGAGTCTCATTTAAATATCAACATACAGTAAACTGTTCAATAGCCTTCTCCAAGGTTTCGATCGCCCTTGTTTGATTTGACTTTGTACGAGTTTTGAATTGATACTGTAAGATTTTTCCACGAAAATAATAAAGATCCGTGATGTCTATGAGTTTTATAATAGAACAAGTTAATAATATAAACTAATGAATAATAAATAGAAAAAAAGTAAAAATAAATACCTTCCCCACCATCTCTGTAAGAAACTGCACCAAGGTCACTAACATAATGATCGTGTTCTTTATATTGGATGGCTTCGTAAAAATTAATTTCACTTTCAAGGAAATGTTGTGTTCTCCAACTGCATTGATCAAAACCTGTTGAAGAGAAAAAATATTAATAAAAATAATTGTTTCGGTAAACATTAAATAGTAAAATATAGTAAATTAGATTTTACGGTCATCTCGCGGAGGAATTACTATATTGGCTATCTTATCTAAAGTATCTTTGACATCATTCTTGATCTGCCATGTTCGAAATGGTTTTTCATTAATATAATTTCGAATATTCTTGAAAAGCAATTCTGCAGTTTTGATATCGAGCTCGACAGGTTGGGTTTTGTGATCCCATGGAAATTCAGTATCGACCTAATCAAATATAATATGTAAATAACCAGTGAATAATTTGTAAGGTCTCTTAAAATAGAGAAGTAATGATTACATACACTAAGAACAACTCGATATAGACAATGACAGCATTGATATTCATATACACGGTTTTCTGATGGGTGAAGTTCCGTAAAAGTTTTGATACAAAATTTCAAAAATGATCCTAAAACAACAGTAATTTATAAAAATGTATAGTAGAATATTTTGGAATAATTAGTTATTATAAATCAGCGTACCGTTATCCGCTCCACATATAAAACGCTCTCCAAGTTGGTCATGAACAGTCACTAAAAATTCAGCAAAGTCTTCTTCGTCCAAATCGGAAGGCTTTTCCTTTAATAAATGATAAAATAATATCCATGTACGAACACATAAAATATGAAGCGGTTCACTTAATTCGGCTTCTGAGTTAACTATCTCCTCGGTTTTTGGAAATAAAATTTCAAAACTTGTTTTATATAATATACGGAAATATTTTTTGAATTTTTTGTATTCATTTGCTGGAAGATTCGCTGTTATTATTATTATTATTATTATTATTATTATTATTAAAATTAGTTATAATATAAAAAAAATAAATACTCATTGACATGATATTTCAAGAGTTTGCTTACCTACTGAATGTCCATTCTCCATAAATTCGGTAACTTTTGATATAGCTTCATTAATCTAAAATAAAATAATTGAAAAATTAAAGGAAAAAAAGAAGAAAATAAGGATAATACGATTTCGACAATTTAACTAACCGAATGAATTGTGGTCCAAAATTGAACAACTCGGTCTTCGTCAATATTATCAGAAACCCAATTTAGCAAAAACTTTATTGCATCGGCAAAATGCGTTATTGCACGTGACCAATCATCTTCCGGCAAATCTTTGCGAGATTCCAATGATCCAATTTTATTGTTTATTATTGTAGTATTGATAAGTGCATCAAACGCGCTGTGTTAATAATAAGTCCATAAAAGTTAATTAATATGAAGTCTAATATTAAATAATAAAAGTTTGTAGAAAAGATTTATTATTACCAATTCATTATTATAATGTCGCCGCATCCACCTAATTCAAGGATTCTTTTACATTCTTCAAAAGAAACCTTAGCTTTATCTAAATTTCCTTGCAAAAAATCTATACGAGCAGTACACCACCAATAACTATTTTATAACAAATGTTAAGAATAAGCATCAATTCAGAAAGAATAAAAATATACGTAAATTATTTAATGCGCATACCGTGCGTTTAATTGACTTGACCAATTTTCCCACATTTTATGATGATTCTTCCATTTTTGCTCATACTCTTCAGATTGTGGCACTTGAGATTTAGCAGTTGACACAAAATCCATTATATTCCACGATGAACGATATATTAGTAATTTACACATATCTAATGTCATCTGTAAATTCTTGAATAAAAAAATATATATATATATATATATATAGTTTTCAAATTAAGCATCCAAAACGTGATAACGTTGATTCATAAAAAAAAATTATCTTACAGGTGGCATCTCTTGGCAATGTCCTTGAGGATCTTGATCATCTTCAGGAGTTGTACAACCATTCCTTGATATTTGAGAATCAAATAGAAATTCGCATACCCCCATCAAGACCTAATAATAAGTAATATTGATTATTAAAAAATCTATGAATGTAATGTAAATACAACTGATTATACCTCTGACTTTTGCTTCATCTGTTGAAAAATATTATTGCTACTATCTTCCATGATTACGTTAGCACAATTGACTGATTCATCCCAATCGGTGCAAGTATTCTCAATCATAGCTAACATTTGATTGTCCACTCTTTGTAGAATTTCTCTAACTATTTCTTTCAATCCATCCGGCCAGCGACAAAGCCATAATGGACTCATTTCTCCTTCAACTTCCACGAATTTTCCAAACAGGTGTATAATATACATGCATAAATAGTCTGTAATTCCTGAATTTTTGTTATTCATATCATTAACGAATGATACAAATGATTCTTGTGCTCGGTAAGTATCATGAAAATGAGAATTAGGTAGAGGGGGATCGGTGTGTGGAGTAAACATATAGAATCGGGGATCAGATGCAGTGTTCGACCTATTGTAAAACAAGCCAATAAATTTATACACCTTATCATAAAATATTTATTAAAATGTTAATAAAACTACTTACGAACCTCGGATTATTTATGGCCTCTTCAATATTTGTCCCATGATATTCACTTAGAACATGTTGGTTCCAAACTTTGCTAAAATATAAAAGAAATTTATCGATTTCTGCATCATCATCCTGTCTAGTGCTGATCAAGTAGTCTTGGTCCACCTTTTCTATAATTGATTCGACTTTTTCAAGGAGTTCAGTTAATGCCTCATCTCGTTTTTGATTAAAAGAATCAATCTTTGACGTCATTTTTGAGGTAACGCGTGATGATCTATTTTTAAGGGAAAAGAGCATATTATTTAGATATATTTATTTATTAAATTGATTGGGTCGCTGGATGACATTTTTAATTACGACCTAGGTTGCAACCATAACTTTAACTACGACAAACCATAAATCAAGTGGTTGTAATATTATAAAACATATGTTGTAAATGGTTGTAAATATCACGGTAAACCACACTATTATGGTTAGTTGAAAAAATGATGATTTTTTAATTTACTTATAATTACATGATTTTGAATCAAAGGTTGCAACCTTCCACCTATTAGGCAACACTAAAATTGATTATAAATATCTTACATACCGTGTTGGTGTTGTTTTATCGTTATTATAATCATTTGGGGGCTCCTTCCTTTTCCGCTTTTGCACAGGACCATTAGTTTCACTTATATCCGGACTTTTGACCACACTACCTTGAAGTTCTATTATGATATGTCGACTTTTAGCCGGAACTGGTGAGTCGTCATCCACATTAACTTTACTATTTACGTAAAATTTAGTGAGTAGAATTAATTGCTAAGTTATTAATTAAACTAAAAATGAAAATGAAATTATATTTAATTACCATGACATGATCCTATCATATATATTTATCAAAAATTCGCCTAATCCATTCCAAGTACAATTTTGCAAATTATATCGTAATGATTTCATTGCATTTGGACCAAACACTCCTAATTGATTCATAATAGTATTTAATTGAAAAATTACAATAATATCTGTAATTTTATAAATTTGATTACTAACCGGATGGTTTCAACCGTCTTGGTATATCTTCCGAATATAAAGGCCTTATTATAGGCGGAGAATTTTCAAAATAATCGCTAATGGTTGAAATTTTATAAATAAAAAATTAAATAAATAATTAACAAAAGGGTTCATATAACCTATCCTACCTTGGTAATAAAGATCTAACCCAAGTGTTTTCTAGAAGTTGAATTCGAAGTTGATTAAGCGTTCGATTGTAAGGATCCACTTTCAAACCTTTATCAATTGCACGCAAACAAGCATAAAAGTCGCCAGTATCATACAGAAGCTAGAAAATTCGAAGAAAATCAATATTCCCGTTCCAAATAATATTTAAAAAAGTGGTTACTTACCCGACATAATTCACTTAAAGCTTCTTGATGAATCGGTGAAAGAAATACGGGAGGAATTCGCGTTTCATCGTTTTCATCAAAATTTGGATACGTTTGTGCAACGTTAAAGTCTTCTAATGCTTTTGTTAAAGCTGAACGAGCATATTGAGGATCATTGATCTCATCTGACATAGCGAGTTTTCCTATCCTTAACCAGATACTATGATCAGATTGGTCAATCCTTAATGCCTAAAAAAATTTATTAATAATGAACAATATCTAAAAATTGCATTTTTAATGATAAATCTTGGTTTACCCTATGATAATATTCTATTGCATTTTGCGCATCTATTTTAGTCCTGTGAATGTGATGTTCATGTTCTAATAATTCTGCATAATTCTTCAATACACAGTATTTTAATCGAGTAATACGTTGTGATAATGGTATACCATTGTTTGGAACCTAGATAAGAAATAAAATTTTGAATTCAATTAAAAAATAGAAAAGGAAAAAAAGAAATTACTAATCAAATTACCTGAAACATTTGATTTTTCATTAGATCGTGTTTTAGAAGTTTAACATATAACTCCTTCGCACTAGCATGATCGCGTCGAAGCGCCAAATTGTATAAAGTTTCGCATTGTTTCAACTAAAAAATTAGCGGTTAGCTAGTGGAAATCTCTAATTTAACGCTCAAAGTTAAAATTTTCATACCGGTGCATCAAATGGATCTACTGGCTGCTCAGTTGGCTGAACATTTGTCTCATTTAAAGCAGTGAATTTAATCAACTGCAAAAAATTAAAATGATAAAAATAAAAACAAATAATTAAAACCTTTTCAAATAATTTAAAATTTCAAAAAAAAATAATAAATAAATTTTTATTTCTTATTAAATATTAAAAAATACATACAACCATTACTTTGGATTATTTCTTAATCTAAAAATTATGAATAAAACAGTTATTATAAAAACGCGTTTTTTCCGTTAAATATTAGAAAGAACTCGTCATAGATTTATTTCAAACCGAAATAAAACGAAAACTTACGGTGTAATAAAAAAATTAATTCAACGCTTGTTTCTAAAGGTCCAATCGACAATTTAGGTCTTCTTGGATCCAACGCCTACTTGACGTTTATTTTATGGCAAAGTTAACGTTGATACAGGGCCAACGCTATATGTTCGAAAGGAGCAAAAATAAAACGAACTTTGCCGTAATAATCTTAGAAAACTTTTTTTTATTTTCTTGAAAATAAACTAGTCGAAAATCAAATGACAGATAACCTTATTAAATAGGTTCTTATACCAAATTTGTATTTATGAATGCAAACTACGAAGATTACACAACAAGTTGAGCGACTTTTATTTACTAGGTTTCACATGAGAATTATTGTTAACTGAACATTTTGCTAATCGGGACAATGAATTTTATTCACGTGATATAAGTAGTAACGAATCGAAAAAAAAAAAAAAAAAAAAAAANATAAAAAAAAAAAAAAAAATTTCGAATAAATATTATATGACAAATCATCAATTTCAGATTCGAAATTGAATTGCTCAAGGCAATTTGAAGTCCATAATTTATTTGACAAGAAATGTGACTTAATTCCATCTAGATTACGTAATTTTCAATTTGTAAATTGTCCACTAATCCATCAACCTCAAGTTTTTACAATTTTTATTCTTGAATTAACTCTATTTGTACCCTTTTTTGCTTTAATTGCATTCCGCTTCTTACTATTAAAAGACTTTATCACAAATGTTCCTTTTTCAGATGACCATAAGTATTCATGTCTAAGTATTTGTTGCAATTTTTTATACGCTTCCAAATTTGCATATGGTACGCCAGATTTTGGATCCTTATATTTTGCAGGTTCACCAGTAATGGGACAAATTGCCTTTTCAACTTCTAAGAAATTAAATCAATATTGTATTAAAGTAAATTATATATATAGAAATTATAAAAGAAATCAAAATACCTTGAGGTTTCGTTCTCCACTCCTGAAATAATTCAGCTTCATGTTTTCTATCAAAATCCTTAAATATAATTAAATTTTTCGTATTCCTTTTACACTCTAAATTATCGCTAGACACTTCCTGACCATTTTGACTATTTATATTATTTGTATCTTTCGCATCATGTATCTCTATTGTAACGTTATTCTCATCTTCGTTCGCCGGAACTTCCGTTATTAATCTGGGTTTCTTATTTATTTTATCATCACCACATACGTATGAAATTTGGCGTATAAAAGGTCCATTAATTCTAACTTTATTTAGTTTAGTTACTGTCCTTTTCTTTTCTGCTTCCTTTATTTCATATGCATGTAATGAGGCTAAATTTTTTTCTTCTGTTATTTTTGCCTGTGCAAGTAACTCTTCCTGGGTTTTTGGCTTTTCCGGAATCTTTTCTTTTTTTGGAATTAAAGCCTAATCAAGTAAAATATATCAGTAAGCAAGTATGAAACTTTTGAATTTTAACATGAAAAAGGTATCATTTTAACCTTTCTTGCTTCATACTCTCTCAGTTTCTCAGCCAACATTTGTTTACTTTGCACTGTATGTGTTCTGGATGAAGAACGAGTTCCAGATAAGAGAGGAACTATATAAAGTTAATATGTCGAATATTAAATAGTGTAAAAAATAAACATTATATGAATGTATTAATAAATACCTTGAGAAGCTTGTTTCTTTTTCCTTTCTTTAATTGATCCATTTTTAGCCACTTTACCAGGAACCACTTTCGATTTATCTGTAGATTGATTTTTATTCCTTGTACGTAAAAATGGAGCTAAAGGAGTTAACGTGGCTTTCTTTGCTCTCTATAAAAAGAGATCAAATTAAAAAGCTATGAAAAATAATATTCGAATTAAAAAATATTTCTAATTTACCTTTTTTTCTATTTTTTCATCTGCTAATATTTGCTTTTCTGCAGCTTCTTCATCTTCGTCTTCATCTTCAGTACTTTGATCGAAGTCAGAGTCAATTATATCTTCCTCTTCTAAAAATTTTTAGAAAAGATTGTAGTAATGCTTTGTCTTACAATCTTACTAAAAGAATTTTTAAATAGGATAAAACCTTGGATTGCCATAAAATCTTCATCATTCGCTACTTCCACGAACATTTCTTCTATTTCCAATTCTCTTTCAAGAAGCTCCTTCATCCTATAAAAATTATTCACATTAATTATTGATTTGAAATTTTAAAGGAGAAATAAAAATAATAACGTAAAGTACTTTACCTATTTCCGGCGTTAGGACGCCGTGATCTCGTTGCAACAAGCGACATTTTACAACAAGAAAAAATTAGGAAATATAATAATGGGTGCTTTTGTAAAGACTTGTATATATATATATATATATTAGAGCTTCAACTGATAGAAGTAGAATAACAACGCAACTTTAAATTAAGCAAACTAGTAAAAGTAGCAGTTAAAGTTGAATAAAAAAAAAAAAATTTTATTTGCATATTTTATATAAATATATTTGTGTAACTGAACATCAATCTACATCACGTGAATAAACACTGACGCACTATACAATTATACCTATACAATTATACACAGTCTGATCACCATTTGTTCATTCTATATGTTACGGCGGCAAATGGTACAACCGCGTCTGGTCTATAAACTACATATTCTTCATAATTCAACCTATGTCCTACGCGTCCATGAACAGAATGACAAGGATAAGGAGGCTCCGATAATCTTGGCATATCATCAACAGTTGTATGGCATCTTTATTTCATTTTTTTTAAAAAAAATCAGAATTATGAAATGAATAGAATGAAAATATACTTTATACTATATAAATGATAATTGCATACCTTCCCAAAGCTACAAAGCAAAATAAAATTGTAAAAAGATCTTCTGAGCCTCCTCTAGGAGCAGCATAACTGTGAGCTTTAGAAGAATTTGGCGCGAAATAAATTCCTGAACCGAACCTAATAAAATAAGAATGAAAATTTTATGTGAGTGAGCGTTAGAGAGTGTGTGTGTATGCATGTGTATAAATACCTACCTCTTAAATGGATTAGCTGACCCACTTTTACTAATATCAAATCCTTTACTTAATATATTACATCCAGCACAACTATCTGTTGAACTTGGATCACAAGGCTTATCATCAAACTTGCATTTAACAGTTGTTCCATGCCATAAAGGTTTTACATGTGGATCATCTAATATCAACAATAATTCCGACATATATTCATCAAATCTTTGACAAACTTTCTTGTCACTCATCATAAATGATACAAATTCTACATTTGGTACACCCATATGCATAGGATGTCTCCATGTAGTGTGAAAATGGTCAACAATCTTCTCGTTGATTTTGCGTGTTCCAGCAAATATAGCCGCTTGACGTAATAACTTTTCAGAAGTAAATATACTTAGCAAAGCTGTAAAGTCTGGACGAACTGTTGGATCAATTGCTATTGTAAATTAAAAGAAAGGAGTAAAAATAAATTTTTTTGAAGAACCAAACGTTAAATCTTCCTCAAAAAATGAATTATACCTCTCTCACAGTCGTCACAAAGACAACCTTGTCGAGTTTTATCCTTGATCTTTTCATATTCTTCTTTTGGGAAAGAATGCCTAGAACTCTGTACGTCATCTTGCGTTGTACTTTCTTCATCCGATGACTCTATATCCCAAAGACTCGTTAACTTTGAAGGTCTCTTATATAAAGACATTTTTAGAAAAAAAAATTTGAATTAAGTATTTCAAATCATTTGGGGTTACAGTTTTGTCTGTCAAAAAATCTAAAAATAGAATAAATGATGAACCCATACACAATGATTGATACAAATTTATTCAAATAAACGTTTTAAATTGATCCACTAACCTTTTTAATATTAAAGCGCATATATATTTTATAGAATGCATGGGTCAAAATAGAACCACTTTGAAATGCACAAAAAAACATATGATACACACACATTTTTAGTTTTTTTTTGTATTTGGTTACTTTTGTTACATCTTGGAGGATTGTTTCTCTTTACTCGAGGTTTTCTTCTGTCACGTTTAGTTTTGAATAATAAAAGTCAATGTTCTGAAACACCTTTTTGGAACAGCACAGATAATCAATATGAAACGACTGAAGAATTGCGACTCGATAGTTGCTGGTATCCTACACAATTCAAAAAAGTTGTCATAATTATAATCGATGCTCTTAGATTTGATTTCGCGGCTTCTCATTCAAGTAATACAAATTTGGACTTAGATCACTCACATTACTTAAACAAACTCCCTATTTTTCATGAACTTATAAAATCTCAACCTCATAATTCTTTATTGTTTCAGTACATAGCCGATGCTCCTACTACCACATTACAACGATTAAAAGCTTTAACAACTGGAACTTTACCCACTTTTATTGATGCTGGAAGCAATTTTGCTGGATCATCTATCAATGAAGATAATTTAATAGATCAGCTGTCTAAGCAAGGAAAAAAGATTGCCTTTATGGGCGATGATACTTGGGTTTCTCTTTTTCCGGACCAACTTGAAACAAATATGACACATGCATTTCCATCTTTTAATGTTTGGGATCTCCATACCGTAGATGAGGGAATATTAAATTTGTTAGTTCCAACTATCAAGAAAGAAAGATACCGTAAAGGCTCATCTTTTTCTGGAACAGATTGGGATGTTTTGATCGCACATTTTTTAGGAGTCGATCATTGTGGACATCGTTACGGTCCAGATCATCCAGCAATGTCAGATAAATTGAATCAAATGAATAAGATGATTCAGAATGTTGTAAATTCTGTGGACGAAGATACAATTGTTCTTGTTATGGGAGATCATGGAATGGATCCCAAGGGAGATCATGGTGGTGATAGCGATAATGAAGTTGAGTCTGCACTTTTCGTGTATAGTAAAAAGCAGCTGACAATAGATGAAGGGATAATGGCTGTTCTTCACCGAATATTACAAAAAGTTGATGATAATGATTTATATGGGCAAAAATCTTTTACGACAGATTTTGGAAAATGGAGAAGAATACCTCAAATAGATTTTGTACCAACATTGTCGTTGTTACTTGGATTGCCAATTCCTTTTAATAGTTTAGGTAGTGTAATTCCGGAATTATTTTTATTGAATTCTAAAGATGAAAATTATCATTCAAGTATTGAACAAAAATTATTAAATTTATTAAATGTTATAAGTCTTAATACGAGACAAGTTTATCAATATATAATTGAATATTCGCGACAACAGCCGTCTTCTGAACTATCCGAGGAGGCGCACCATTCTTTAGGAGATTTATTTGAACAGGCAGAAAATCAATATAATATACTGAAGAAATCTTCAAGAGTATCATTGGATGATTTAGAAAATTTGATCGTAAAATACATAAGTTTCTTGAGGATCACTTTATCTATATGTCGTCGAATATGGGCGCAGTTTGATTTACCTTTAATGATATCTGGAATTAGTATTTTATTAGCAAGCTGTGTTATTATGTTATTCCATTTATTTGCTGACAATCAGATGAGTGTTTTGTATGCTTTGATAGGAGGAATCGTTGGTGCAGCATTTGCAATATCAAGTTTAACGAGATTCTTACTTGAACCGTTTTTGAGTGACTCCAATTTTTCAACTTTAGATTTTATTATTTTAAGTGCATCTATTGGTTCTGTTTTTAGTTATTTAATTTGGTTTATTAAGAAACATTTTTATTCTTTTGCGCCATTTCATTTAGACAATCATTATTTCTCATTTGACTCATTTTTAGCAATTTTATTTCTTGTTCTTCACACATTAATATTTGCGTCCAATAGTTATACAGTTTTTGAAGATCGAATTAGTGTGGGATTATTGCAAACATTTGGAATATATATGTTTATCAAGGCATTTAGTACTAAATATAAACGATCTCGGATGAAACTTTTAATATTTACATTTATATCTTTAGTTGCAATACGTATAGCCGCATATTCAACTATATGTCGTGAAGAACAAATGCCATATTGCGTGATGACATTTTATGCATCATCAGCAAATTCATTATCTTCGCCAGTAGTATTATTATTTTTAGTAGCTTTTTCTTTATTAATACCTTTTATAATACGTAAAATAATTTTTACAAAGGATTTTGATAGAATTGCTCCAATTTGGATAATTTGGATTGATTGGGCTTTAAGGGCTGGATTGATATTATCAGCAATATATTGGATCATGGATAACAGAATAACAAGTCCTTCTGAGGATACGTTGTATAGCTCAAATTTGATAACTGATCAAGGATTTAAATGGGCCAAAAATTTTTTAGTTAGAATGGCTTTTGGAATAGTAATCTTTGGGAATATTATATGGTGGAAAAATCCTTTGTGCATAGATAATCCAAGGGAATCATCTAATGACGTGGAAGATTTAGAAAATATATATGGACCCTCTTATTTTATTTTCCTAACAATAGTTTATTTATTGTTAGTTATCACTCAAAAACCCATGGGTGGATTGATGCTTTCCGTTGCCTTATATCAAATAATGTCATTATTAAAAATTTTTGACATAAAAAGAGATGCCTCTCAGGAAAAGGATACATCATTTCTTGAAACTATAATATTTTCATTATGTGGAACATTATTTTTCTTTTCTACTGGACATCAAGCTACTATTTCATCCATTCAATGGTCAGTAGGATTTATTGGAATAGATGAAGCAAATTTTACAATAACGCCAATATTAATTACACTTAATACATTATCATCACAAATTTTATTTACATGCGCAATACCTTTGCTTGCATTCTGGAATAGATCATCTAATAATTTAATTTATTATTCACTTACAAGAACCATAATTTATTATAATTTATATAATTCTATAATAACAACAAGTACAGCAATTTGGGCAGCATGGTTTAGAAGACATTTAATGGTATGGAAAATTTTTGCGCCTAGATTTATGTTGGGTGGTATTAATTTATTATGTATAGATTTTGTTATATTTTTTATTGTTGTTTCTTACGCCTGTACTAAAGTTATAAAAAGAGGTGTTGGTAAAGTTTCTAATACTGAATGTGAACAAAAATTAGAAAAAATTAAATAGAAATTAAATAAAAAAGGATTCGTGACCGGTCCGTGACTGTGGCACGTGAATTCCTTACAAAATAAATTTTTAAATGTTCTGAGTACCCTTCATAAATTTTCCACCTTAATTTAATTAAATTATTAAACTTATAATCCAGGATATACGATTAACTACAACCTTGTATGTGTTTTCCTATATATATTTGTTCTTTTATTTATTTTTTGACATCCCTTCCATGGTTTATCGCGGGATTTCTCCGTGAAACAATAATTTATTAATCGATTCAAAGAGAAAAAAAAAGAAGAAATAGGAGAGATCTCCGAAATAGTGAGTGTTCGTAGAATCATGCAATTATGATCGAGTTTTTTTCCTTCTTAATTGTAGATAGATTGGATGGATTTTTGAAATTAGATTCCAATAAAATTTTAAATCTTCCAACAAAAATTATTAATTATATTCGTTATCGTAAACAAAAAAAAAAAAAATTAAAATCGGATACTCACTAAAATTTAACTGACCAAAATAAATAGTATTTCTTTTGGTTTAGTTATGAATAATCCATATAAAAAGAAAAGTAAAAAATTTATGATAGAGTATTGAATATTGACAACTGCAATGCGTAAATTTGAAAATCCCGACAATCCTATTCATTTCTGATCATCAGGTTTTTGATCGCAAATCCAAACACGAGATCAAAATCAGGGACTGATCAATTAACATACTTATTTTTAAATTGCGATCTACTGTTTTGTAGGTCTGTAAAATCGGAAGTTGCACGATTTCATCCTAATGTTCGAGGTGAGATCGGATTATCCGAGTCGGAAAACAATAAATGTGATTGGTTATATCGGAAGTGAAGTGAACACCGAGATATTTCAAAAAAAAAAAAAAGCAAGCGATTGTCTAATTGCTCCAAAAATTTTTCTTTACTCTAACAAGTAATTTATCATTTCACAACGGAAATAATTTGTTACATAACTTTTACTTTATTAACATAAGAAATTATTTCATTCCATTTTCTCCAAAAGATGTTAATTAAAATTAAATTATAATAAAAATTATAAAAGGATTAGCTTTTTATTTCAGAATTTCTATTTTTATCTATAAAACTAACGTCAGCTTTTGGAATACCAAATTAAAATTACTAAACATTGTTGGTTCAAAAATAATAGCATAATACACCACTAACGCTGCAAATAATTTGAATGCGACTATTATTTTATTGTGATGTTTTCATTAATATAAAATTTTCTTTAACGTTATTCGTTCCTTTCTTCTAAAGCATTCCATTGTTAAACTTTCCAAAGTCCAAAATAATATAGCAGAATTTATCTTTGCCCAAGATTACCATTTGTAACTGGTTGTCGATCGCTAGTTATATTTTCATTTCCGGAAATAAGCATCACACCACGTTTTTGTTTGCTTTTATATAAAAGAAAACATCCAACCGCTATTGATAAACTACCGATTAATGATCCTATGACCGCGGCAACTATAATTGGTGATGTATTATTTGTATTATTTGGTGGTGGAGGTGAAGATGTAGGTGGCGGTGGTAGAACTTCAAAGCTCGTTGTCCACTGATATTCATCATTATTACTGATATCAAGTAATAAAATAGCATCTTCACCATCAATTAACTTAGAATTAACGTTACTTATTCCTATTAAAAATAATTATTATAAAAATCATAACCAATTCAATTTTATAGTATTTCTTTATAAAAGTTTATATTTACCGAATGATACGACCATGTATTTTTCAATTACATTTGCCATATGAAAATATCGACTTTCTGGAAGCTTGCCAGAAATCTTTGGAACATACCATTCAAAGTTTGTTGTATTTAATACATAAAGTGCATCTGTAGAATCAATTTTATTTCCTCCAAAAATTATTATTCTTTGACCATCTAATCCTATTGAATAAAATAAATTTATTAATGATGAACTTATATTTATTATTACTATTTAAGCATACATACCAAGAATAGAAGAAAATCCTATCCTTGTAGTAGGAATATCTCCAGAGGTGTTCTGTAATTATTAGTAAAATATGTATTAGTTACAGTATATTAATTTATCGTCCAATATTAACTTACTTGTACACTCCAATTATCTTGAATTGTATCATACAAATAAACCTATATAAATAACAAATTTAATATCTGTAGTATAAATAATTCAAAATTTAATAATTTACCTGATCTAATTGGAAATTATAATTACTACTATTACTACCACCTAAACAATAATTTATTAATAAAATGAGAGAGAGATCAATGGCATTTTTAAAAATTATTTGCTTACCAATGTAAACAATCTTATTATTGGGTAAAAAAACGGTTCTACAATCGACTCTTGGAGCTGGTGCACCAACCAAATTCCCTGATCCCCATATAAGATTTATTGTATCCAAAATATATATTTCATTAGAGAATAAAATAGAAGGCTGTCCACCCCACAAGTACATTTTTCCGTTGTAATCTATTGTACTCGTTGAATATTGTCTAGTAAAATGATTCGTACTAAACAAAGTTATGGGGACACCCCATATATTGCTTTGTGGAGTAAACATATAGGTAGCAAGCTCATAACCTTTCGTCGCTCCATATAAAAACAATGTATTATTCTTTGGACCACCTTTAACAGATACAGCAAAATCATGCGATGGAACGGTATTAATGTTTGATAAATTATGCCATAATAATTCTTGAGTATTAAATGAAGCCGAAACATCTAGATAAAAGAAGTGTTTTCCAGTATCATTAAATTTACCATTGCTGTTTCCACCTAAAATATACAATTTTTTGTCAATAAGTGTAGCAGTATGACCATATCTTCCCATTTGACAATTTACTCCAATTATAAACCATAATATAATAATATTTACTAAAGAGTTCATTATTAGCACTATTATCAATAAAAAAGTATTCGATTATACAATTTATTTATTTTTTTTTTCTTTGATTTCATTTCATTTTATTTTTTTTGCGAAAGATAAAAATAGAAAAATAGAATAATCTAAAAACAGAAGAGTTTTTTTTTAACTTCAATAGAGATAATTTTGGTTATCTATTCTATAATAGTGCATATTAGTACATAATTACCTTTTTCGTTTAATTGATTAATTGATTTACGGAAATGACAAAAAACGGATGTGAAACAACCGAACCTCTCCCCTACATCTATTATAAAATGCTGCATCGAGTTAAATAAAAAAAAGAATTAATCGAGTTAAATCAATATTTAAAAATCAACTGAGAAAAAAAGGTAGTTAAACAATTGATTTATATAACTCTGTTACACCAACAAAATCTGAATTAGTAGCCCAACAAATTTTCTATCCCTCGTGACCTAAAAATATTCATCACCGGCATCACGTTTTTCAATGTCACTGATCACGTGGAGTAGAAATTTTAAAATTCCGCATTGTGCAGGCACTTTTTTCTTTTAAATAAAAAAGTATTTGATTTTAAGTCTGGTTTTTTAGTGTTTGTTATATGATAGATTCTATTTCAATATATATATATATATAGTTATTAGCTGAAAATTTTCTAATCATATCTTAAGTTAAAGCGATATGCCACGAAGCCCACGATTGCCACGTTCATTGATAATAAATCATGGAATCATTGATGAAGATAATAAAATATTATTGATATACCGTACAGTACATTGATTCAGGTAATCGGTTTGTCGATGTGATTATATTTATTCGAAGTTAATGTTAACAGCAAATCGCCTTAGAACGAATACAACCACAAATAAAGCACTAACTAATACGAATGCCCTCAACCAGATTTTCAACACACCTCAAAACTTCATTCGCTGCGCCATTTATATTGGTGAAAATAATGTGACTGCTGCGACTGATAATCAGGAATTGCTAATCGAATTTTTATTTAAGCCCAAATAAAAAAAAAATTACTATTGGTTGAAACTTCAACAATATTATTATTATCATATCGGCTGATCAGAAAAGCCTCCCATAATTTTATACGCTAATGACAATAAGTAACCCATCAGTTATATAATGAACCCATCAACTGAGCTTAAATATTAATTGGCTTGATTTTTCCAATCAGCCGATATGTGCTCATTCATTACTCAATTGTCTGATGATAATTAATTGTTTTGCTAATCATAGCCACAAATCCAAAGCCCAAAGGTAAAAACCTTGTTACTAAATTCATTTTATCTAATATTTAAAGAATAATAAATTAATATTTTAGAACATTGGATAATTAATATTTATTTAAATCATTTTATTCTTCACAGAAGGGAAATGATAGAGTAGAAAATTTTTACGCGAATAATTTAGTTTTTTGTTCCAGATTCAATACTCATTAGGGAAACTATTAGAGTGGATCAAGTTTTTTAGGGTTGAGTATAACAGATAACCTTAAATTTTAACATGAAATTTTAATTCAGTTATTATTTGCTAAAATATTATTAATATAATACTAAAGGCATCTTTGCCTTGCAAAATTTATAATTTCTCATTATATAATGATCAAAATAATATATACCGACGAAAAAGACGTTAAAAGAGAAGTTAACAAACATTTCAAACAGTCGCAGGCGCTGTTACAACGCCCATGTTATATTTCTTTAACTGATAATAATCAAATGCATTAAGGAAAAATTTTATCAGAAGAATAATTAATGAAATTTTTTCATAAACAGCATTTGTTGCCATGCAAGCACGTATGTCTGATAGTGTAGACTTATTGAATTGACGAAATTTGGAAATTGTTTCAAAGAATGCTTGAACAGAACAGATTTAAATATACAATCTACCATCAAAGCTTTATTCAGTAGCATCATTATGCTTGTATGATTATAAAAACAATGAACTTAATAATTATATTTAATATCAGGAATTCAAAGAGTTCGGTAAAAATTTTGATTTCTATTATGCCGCCAATTACAGATGATAAATTAGGAATATTCCGGAAACTCTTTATTCCAATATTTATCTTTAGATTATCAGCAGTGATATTCAGCATAACATGATAAATGAGATTTACCTACAAAATTAATAAAGAAATTGTAATTAAAAAATTCAATAAATTTTTTTTAAATACTTTTAGTTGTAGTACATACCTCCTTTCAAAATTTTCTAATTCTTTGAGCACCATTGTCGCAAGTACAGTGGATATTAACCTAGTAATTACTAAGCTGATTCTTTGGCAAAAGTAACTTCTTTTATAAACAGAACACATTTTTTACAAAATATTTTCTATATTTTACTGGATAATTATAATTGACACTTATTAAACCCAACAGATCTATAGTATGACAATCCTGTTGAAAGTACTGTACATACCGTATATCATACATTATATTTATATTTTGATTACTATAATTAATATAAAATTAGACTTATAACTCGGACCATTAGAATACGCTTAACAAATTCAGCTCCAGCAATTGTTGAATGGTTATACTTAGTGCTTCGATCCGGATGGGTTTTTAACGGATCAATCCGCGGTTTACTACGATTTGTCATCGGTTTATTTTAGTTGGAGCTATAAGTTTGGCCAAAATTAATAAAATTTGTAGAAGAATAATTTTTTAAATCTGACAAAAATTATAGTTTGACAAAATAATAGAAAAATGTTGTGATGCTAATCAACGGATCAATCCGGATCGAAGCACTACTTATACTGATATATGCAATACAGATAGGATGAGCTGATGTTATTAAACATCATATCGTTACAAAAGATGCTGCTCTTTATATTCCCAACCTAATCAATGTAGTAAGAATGGTGGATTGATGGATATAATAAATGATTATGAATACCATTAATCTATAATTAGAACTCCATAAAAAAAGATAATTGCTTGTTCTGTAAATCAACTGGCCATTGGGTGTGCCCGAAACTCCTTATGAATATAAAAAAACTTGCTTACCTCCTTATTGTGGAAATATATTGAAGAAGCCAGCTATGCAACAAGGACTTTTGATCGAAATTCTTTGAACCATGAAAAGGAAGTAGGTGGGGAACTAAGTTCTGCAATTACTGAAACCGTCGTGAGTTACGCACTCGGTATTAATATTAATACCTATTATGTGGAGCCCGATTAGGTGTGCCTAATCTTGGTAATTAAATCCCTCTCTCGATATTAATGTTAAGCATCATCCATTGAGGGGATAAATAAAATTTATTTCTATGATCCTATTTCTAAACATGCAATCAAGATCGAAACGCGATTTGTCACTGATAACGTCCTCAAGTGGTTAATAAAATAACGAGAATTTAAAACTTTTCTCTTCGATTATCTTAATCCCGATTTAAGAAGAGCGTAGAGAGTTTCAATTCATAACCTACGGAAATCATTCAACTCAAAAACTACGTGTCTATGTACTCGAATTATTGAGGAAGGAAATTTAGTTACAAAGACTTTTTTTCCTCATTTCAAGATTGAAAAAAATATGGTGTTTAATTGTATTAAACATGCTTAGATACTCATATATGTAGCAAGTAATAAAGAAAATTGATGATACCTAATATATATTAACCATTCACATAAATAAATGCGCGTTTGTAGAAACATTTATGCTTTTTTTTTATCAATTGTTAATTACAAATTTATATTTTCGCAAATATCAACATATATAATTAGAACGAGTAATAATCAAATTTAGATAAGAGTATGAGAACACATCTAAATAAGAACTGATTATTCCCGATTAACATTAATGTGACCGAACTCGAAGATTATAAATTTAAATGTCATTGCGGTGATCGACATGCGGTGACTGATAAAAATCGAGACTTTGTCATGTGAAGAAGTCATTCTAAATTTATTTGGTATAAACAGACATCAATATTTTATTATAATTTCAATTATTGTCTTCTTCATCAGCTTCTTCAGCCAATTTTGATTTTTTTTTGCTTGAATGGTGACTAGTATTGTTTGGATGGTTATCATCATGTTCATCGATATCGTCATCTCTATATTTCTCTACCATTGATTCGTCAGGAAGTAATATGCATTTAAAAGAAATATGAAAGAACTGTCACTTGGGATATTATAGCAACGTTACTTTGAAAAAATATGTAGAACGCGTTTTTTAACTTGATGTTTAAGAATGATTCTTTAAATTCAAAACAAAGCTGATTATATTAATTTATGATTTATTATATTAACAGGACGCTGATATTTTGTGTATTCAAGAAATAAAAGCCAATAAAGAAGTTGATTTTAATATCTTTGGTTGAGAAAAGAGACATGGTAAATTACAATATGCAGTTGTATGAGGAACAGCTGTTTTAGTGCTTATTTTTTTTCTCTGGAGTAGTTGTTTTAAACCATTTTCTACTTCACGTACTAGATTCTCTACACATCCGAATCCTAAAGATAATAAAGACGAAGTATTACACTAGAATTTGAGTCATTATATTATGTAGTATGTTTATATGTTCCTAATGGGGTGATAAGCTTGCAAGATTTTAAAAAAGAAAAATAATTTTGGACAAAGTTACCTGTGACGAACGAATGATTTTAACCAGGTAATTATAGTTTATTTTATTTTTGAAAATAGGATTAATCATTTTTAATGCAAATTTTAAAGAACTCGGAAATATTCGGTAAAGCTCAAAATGAGATAAAATTATACCACTATTCTCAATAAATAGTTAATTCATTTTATTTGTATTTATATAGAGACTTGACCGTTGCACGCAATCTATTAATTATTTAATTCTAGTATATTATTAACATATTATCATATATCATTGCAGGGCACATCAGAAGAATGGAAAGATACCATTTTCAATGGAGGAAAAACCATATTTATTTATCTTCAAAAGCCTCAAGTAGACGTCGAAAATCCTGAGAGAATAACTACGTGTCGCGATCTTCCTTTGAAATATTCATTTAGGTAGCTTTTATAACATGATCATTGATATACGCGTAGAGTAGTAGACAAAATGGGATGATGATTATCCAAGATAGAGATTCTATAGATACTATAAATTCTGAAGATTCTATGAAGAAGTCAACTTCGTGTCAATAGAATTTGATGAAGAGTCAATTATAGTTTACTTGTTACAACAATATAGACAATATAGACCATCCAAACTCTGAAAACTACATACGTACTACTTTTATAAATTTCAATTACTTTGTCTAAGATCTATTGCTAACACGCCAACCGCGACATTTGTAGATTTGGGGATAACACTTTATTCTCTAGCAAAATTATTATAATGTATGCTACCAATTACACATATAAAATATGTATAGATCCTTATCGATCTTTTTTTGCTTTCGAATTATGAAGGTTATATACACCTGAATTTTGAGGTTAAAAAATTCTTAAAAATTCTTTGGGAATAATAACAATTAATTCATGGATCCGAATAACTTGATTAATTTTTTAGGAGATTGTAAAGTTTTAATTATTTTCATAGTTAGTAGCCTTTATAATAATTATCAAGAGCGATAAACATAAATATGCTTATTTAAGTTATGAGGATAAGTTATCAACTTTATTAATAAATATAAAGAACAATACTCTAACCATATATCTCAAGTATATTTATATAAAACGCAAAAACAAAAAAAAAATTTTATACGTTGTTGTATCCGTTAAACATTTGGTTTTTTCTACACGTAGGCTTATGGGAAGGATGTTTGTATAGGCATCTATAAAGAAACAAGTATAAAGTAAAATTTTAATTTAAATACAAAGATTTTTGATAAATAAACAACACAGTAAATACTTACAACCAACAAAATTCATGGGAACATTTGGTACAAGTTATATGATCACAACCTCCATCCTTCTCAATAGGTATAGAACATCCAGGACATCCCTTTGTTTCTCGTGAAATATAATCCGCAGTAGCAAAATCTGATTGTTTTATACTCTCATCGTATTCCTTGCAAGTTTGACCAGTATGCCAGGCAACTTCGTGTTTGTAACACGAATGCGCTCCACAACCCTCACAGATCACAATTGGAGCTTCATCTGTAAAAATTAATTGAAAAAAAGAGAATATGTTCTAATTAAAATTTTGAAATAAAGAATTAATATAGTATCTTAAATGATACCTTTCCCAATATGGATTTGCCCAGCTCCACAAGGTGCTTTGCACCATCTAAATTCCGGGATTCTTTGAATCGCAATTTTGTAAGCAAGTTCATCATATCTGAATCAAAAGGATATTAATAAACATAAATAAAAAATACGATATGATAAATAATTAGATAATTTTTACGCTTCAAAGACTTGTTTTGTTGCGATATTTTTGATATCATGTCTTTCCATTTTTTTTTTACATCCTTTTGTAGGACAAGGAATTTCGAGGATTTGTTTCTCATTGCTTTGATTTTTAATATGTTTGTTAACACATTCTACGCAAACAACGGCTCGATGAGAACATTTTGAAGTTATTTTACGAAAATCTCTATCTTCTGTTTCGTAACAAATGAGACATTCGGACATATCAGACATTTCATCCATTTTTTATTTAATATTCTAATAATAATAAAAAAAGAATAGTTTTTTATCAGAATAATTTTAATAATTAATATTAAATTTGTAATTTAACGTCAATTTTTTAAATCTTTCTCACACAAAAAAAAAAATTTTTAAGAAATGATTGTTCAAATTAAGGTTTAAATTTGTATGAAAAGATTTCATCATTTCTATTAGGCAAATAAATGAAATCTTATTTTGGTTTCATTTTGTTATTATTTAAAAAATTCAATAATAATGAAATCTCCATAACTAAACCAAATATTACCAAATATGTTTAGATAATATGAAATAGAAACTCATTAAAATTGCCTTTTTAAAAATCTCATTTCAATAAATTCTATGGAATAGTTCTCCGGAATTGTTGGCCCCGTCTTCATGTAACACAAGCCTTTTATACGGAGAATTTCACTTTTTTTTTTTAATTTTCAAAACAACAAAAAATATTATTCTTTATTTCTTGTGTAACGATTAATAAAAATCCCTCACTCAAATATTTTTTTATATAAAAAATAAATTATTATTATTAAATTGTAACACTAAAAAATAAAATAATCTAGAAGGAATGACCAAATATTTCTCTCAAAAAGATTCTGCGTATGAATTAATATTTAATATAAATAATAATTTTTTTTAAAATAATTTTACGTTACGTAAAAATGGACATACTCCAGAAAATTGACGATAATTTTCATGTATCCAATAAAAGAAATAAAAAAATGCTGCTTTCTAAGTCTTCAACGAGAGAAATGAAACGAATTTAACTGATAAATTTATAAAAGAATGATTGGAATGATTGTGAAATAAAATTTAAGATCATATATAATATATTTTGATTTGAAAATATCTTAGGAATTAACTGAACCGAGTATTTTATTCATTAATATATTATCACATATTAGACCGGATACTGATAATTCATTCTCATTTATACAGTATGTATAAAAATTTGAAAATGAGTTTCCCATTATAATTATATAAATTCGTTTGTTATTTCGGACAAATCTGAAAATATTTCGTAAGCAAATAAGAATAATTCAGTGGTTATATTATTCGTTACATTTTAATATACAAATAATTATTAATGACTTATTTTCTGATAAATTTGTTAAAAAAACATCAAATAATAAAAAAGATTTATAGGATTTATTTATGCATTTGTAATTATCATTAATGAAGTAGTACTGGAGAAATATTTTTAAATTCAACAATAAATTATATTATTTTTTTATAATTTGATTTTCAATATCTCATAATTGTATTTATTCTACAGGATATTCGACATCAAAACCTCATATAAATTTTACACTCGCTATAGATGTAAATATAATGTCTTACGCCTTGCTCCAGATAATTATGAAAAGAAATATATTACACAACTTAAAATCGTATCTTTCAAATTATTCTTGTTTTTTAAAGAAAAATGTAAAATTGTCGTTAAGCTCATCACAGGTTCAAGGAAGACCTTAATTTATTAAAGAATATACTTAATAAATCCAAAATGGTTCTGAAATAAATCTTTATTCTCAACTCAAAATTGTATGGCAATTGTTATTTTTTGAAAATGCAAAATTTCTATTTTATTTATCTAGCGATCAGATTTCGAGAAAAAAAATGTTGTCTCATTTAGTTTCGAGAATCAATGAGAAATTGGGGACTTTAGATTTGTTTAAGAAAACAAATAATAAAATGGGAAAGGTCATACATCCAATTAAATGTAGACATCGTTCAAAGTATTTTTATTTGTTTTAAAATCATTAATCACATAAGTATTAGAAAATCTAGGATTGTTATTTATACTAAAAATTATAATAACTAACATTAAATATTAAAATTAATTTCGATCAAGCTGGTTGACGTTCTTGAAATGGTATAAAAATTATTTCTTATTTTTTCGTGATTTGAAATACCTCATAGTCTTCTATATTAAATTTATCTTCAGTATCCCTTATTCTTTTCTCATAATTAGTTTGTTTACACCAATTATAATTAAATTGATTAAGACCTGATAATCTAAGATCAGAATTACCAAATGTGGGATCATAATTAGGATGATAATATAATGCATTATCCATATTTTTTACGCAACTTAAAATTGGTCCTTTAATCTCATTTTTACTCTTAAAAGAAAATATAAAATTATAATAACATCGACTCCAAGAATTAGAAGATTCCCATATTGAAGGATTATACCCACCTAGAATTTCTTCAGTTCCACTTACTTTAATAAATGTAATCGTATTAGGTTTATCATCACATAATTCATGAAATATATTAGGAGTAAATCCATCTCGACTACCTCTTAATAATAATTCGAATTTGTATGGTAAATATAATTCTCTTAAATATGAATATTTACTATTATAATCCACTTTATCAGTCCATCTTGAAATAATTGAAATTATATTTAAATTAACGATATTTGATTCAATGTCATCACTTATTTTTAAGTTTCTTGGAAGTGGTATGTTGCTATCATTTGGCTCAATATCAGGATCCATATAAGAATTCAATAGATCTTTATAAAGCTGATGGTTTAAAAGTTTTTTGTATGGACTCACTTTGTGTAAAAATTCCTTGGATGATAAACTAAAAAATCTAATTAAAGGTAAACAACTTTGTAAAGTATTTTCCATCATTTTAAAATCATCATCTGTCCAAGTATCGGGATCTGGAATGAGAGTTTGATTTTGGGCAAGTCCCCATTTTAACACATGTTCCCATATTTCAATTTCTTTCATTTGTAAATCATCTCTTTTAATAAGTGAAATCAAAGATTTTTCGGGTAACGAAGTAAAATCAAATGATTTAAATATTTTTTCGGGTGATTTAGCCATAAAATCTGTACAAAATTCTTGAAGTTCTAAAAAATTATTAGATTGAAAACTTGTTCGATGTATAAATTCAAAATGTTGTTCCATCCACTCAGTTTTGTTTTCAATTAAATACTTTTGTAAATAATCAACTAATTCATGAAGAAGAAGTTCATCAGCTCCAATTAAAACTTTAATAATATCTAAAGTATCTTGTCCATTTAATGAAAGAATTCCACCATAAAGATACCTATATTAAAATTGAATATAAAATATTAAAATTTTTGACATTTTAAATTATTATTGAGTATTATTACTTTACCTTAAAATAATTTGAAAGGTTTTTGGTAAAATATTTGGTAATTTAATATGAGCTAAGACATCATTATTCTTTTTATTCGAAGTTAAAGTTCTCCGTAAAAATGGAGAACGATGACATAGGATAATCATATGTGCACGAAATATTTTTACGTTAGGATCTTTACCAACTTCAATAGTAGTATCATAATATTCATTATCCTCCAAAATTTCGATATAGTTTTGACTTAATCTTGAAAAAAATTGAATAGACATTTTTTCAACTTTAAAAAAGAAAAAAAAAAAATTTAACCGCATGATCGACTTTAAATTTGCAAGTGATTTTATTTGTGTCACAAATATTACATACGATCATCAATATACAGAATTTGAAATATTTTTTTTTACCAGGTAGTGTAAAACTAAATAAATAAATGAAGCTAACAGAATAGTTTTTTTAGTTAAATGAAGATTTTCTCCAACTAGCAATAATAATATGTTACTATAAAATCCGTTATTAAAGTGCTACACGCAAAACATTTATTAATCTATGCAATTATCACAATATATGTGACGCAGGAGGAGAATACAGTATTGTTATGCCAGTTCTTGAATGCTTATAAAAATAAGCGTATATGTATATGGTAAGCAGAAGGAATTATAAATAAAATAAATGTTAATAAATGTTAACAAACGCGTAGTGAAATAAACTATATAAAAACACTAATAAGTGTATCACTGCCGATCAATTTACGAAGGTAACACGAACAAATAAATGTAAATTCACTTGTAAATTCAATCAAATGCGAATACGGTAATACACACACTGGGATATACACTCAGACGCAATTATTGATTCACGAATATAACAAAACTTAAAATAAACAGCGAGATAATTCTTTTAATAAATGCTTTATTAATTCAAGACGCATTATCTGTTTTTACATTGACTTTGAACACATATATTTATAACAATAAAATCTATGCTAATCATGTTTAACTGTTAACATATTGTATAAATGCTACATGTTTAATAAATGTTATGTTAAATATATTAAATATGTGCTATATGTTTTTTTTATTTTATTTTTATTTTATTTCAAGAGAGGAGTAACCAATGACTAAACATAATAGAAGTTAACAACTACAGGTAGCGAAGAACTATACTATTAGGGGTACTGTGGTTATTAATCCCGCATAACAGGACCTCACCCTCTGGGCGAAACTACTCTAACAGTAAAACTACGCTACTGATAAAGGACTAGAAAAGAAAAAAATATAAAAGGAACATAAAAAGAATTATTTATAAAAATAAAAATTAGTAAATAATCAGTAGCTAGTTAAAGTAGAAAATTTAAATGCCCGTTGGGCTTATATAAGAAATAAAGTGTTGTTAAAAATATGTAAATGAAATGAAGATAGATCATCATTCAATGATGATAACCAAGGTAGGTTATGTAAGAAGTTTGATGAAGTTAGGTAAATCCATAATGTGTGATTTTTGATTTGTCGTCTAGTATCGTTAAGAGGACATCTATATCCATTAATGTTATTGATATTATTAAATTCAGATTGTCGTAATCTTCGTGTTGAGTCATGATGGTGATTTCGTCTGTAATTGGTAAATGATTTCTTTGTGATCTCATGATCCTTTTTAAATTGTTTCCAAGCTATAGCTCTAAGTTTCCAAATACTTTCATAGATGTCTTTGTGAAGGTCGAATAAGAATTTTAGTAAAATTTTTTTTGTAATATCCTTACTAATTTTAGCCGCTTTAAATAGATAGGTAAGGGATGTAGGAATAAAATTTATAAGTAAGCAATATAATTCTGGTATGTCGATAATTTGTTGAGGAAGTTTTTTCATCCATTTAAATATGGATTTCATGTGATGGAGTCCAAGTATAATGTGTATAATGAATTTGACTCTGAAGTGATTAATGTTTTAAATTTATTGTAATGAGTAGCAAAAATAGGTGTAATAATTTCTAGTACTTTCGGACAATTCCAAAAGTGTTTGTTAGTTTCTTTATATGTGCTATATGTTAAATATGTTGCATATATTAAACATATCGAACATTCGTAACATTTGCAATATTCGTAACATGATCATTGGTTACATGATTATTCGATTAACACCATTCCCTCCCAAATTTTCAACCCCGTTGAAAATATCAATTGATTTCAAAACCAAATCCTTATATTCCGCTGTACTGAGCTTCCAGATCATGGTGGTGGTTAAATGGATCATTCTCATAATCTGTTCTACTCCAGAGATTTTGAAAATGTAATATGTTCGAATAGCAATCATCCAGAAATGTAAAGATAATTGCTGTAAAAATTGTCCACATCTTGTATTATCCCATATTTTTACTTCCGAAAAGTGTCCTGAGTAATAGATATTTACTAGCATTAATATTCTATCATCAATGCGTTTAGCCCTTTCTATAGCAGCATTGATCAAGTCAAATTTTTCTTCCAATCCTGCAGTAACTGTATAAGGTGGTGGAAATGCCACAACTTTGGTAGGCTGTAATCATCACAAATCTTCCAGGATTCTTTGATAAGCATTTACTTCAGCTATTATAAAAGAAACAATAAATATAATAAAATCAATAATAATAATAATATGAAAATAAACTATATATAATGAAAAAAATAAGTAAACTATATAAATATATATAAAAAAAATAAATTTTTTTTTAGCATGTATTAAATGCATGCATTCATTATGCCATCAATCATGTATTCATGCATGATAGTCTATATACGTTGATGATATAATTTTAATTGTTCTGAATTTACCAGAACTTTCAAAATTTTTCCTTTAATCGTATGCAATTTATATGCACCATTTCTTATAAACATTTTGTGCACATAATAGGAGTCTTTCCATCTTTCTTGGAGTTTTTGTTTACCTCTCAATTGACTTTGATATAGCAACACAAGGTCTTTAATTTTAAACTGCATTTCAGAAAGACCTGCATCATGTTACTCCTTTTGCTTTTATTGCACTTTGCATATATTATCTTGTATTTTAAGGCGATCAACTATCACTTTTCCAGTAAGTGTGTAAATACAATTAAAAAGATCATCCTGAAAATGTTTCCCAGTGCAATTGCTCTGCGCAGTTGAAACAGCAAATTCAATTGGAAGCACAGCATCATAGCCATACATCAAATAAAAAGGTTTATGCCATGTGGACATGTGGTGTTATGGCCTTTTATCCTGTATGCAAATAAGACAGACGACAGGTACAAATCCCAATCATCCTTATTTGTATTGGTGTATTTTGTGAGCACTTTACATAATGTTTGATTGAAGCATTCTACCAATCTGTTAGTTTGTGGGTGATATGCCGTGGATAGCTTATGCTTAACTCCAAGATTTTTGCATAAAGAGTTTAGCATTTCATTTACAAAGTATATTCCACGGTCAGTTAATAGTTCTTTCAGGCATCTGTAATGACATATAATATCTTTGTAAAAATATGAGACAACCGATGAGGCCTTTGTGTTATACGGATTAAAGATATGACTACAACTGATCCTTCTCATCCTAATATACTGAGCCACCTTTCAATTTGAACAGGTGTTGCTGTAATAATCTTAAATTGTACTGAATTAAAGCAGTCCAATATTAACTTGATCACTTATTATTTGAATAAATTAATTATTAATACTCATCTATCTGTCATTTTTCATCATTGTCAGTTAAAAGGGATGAAGCAAGCATGTTATCTTTTAGACTTTTGAACTCTTGAACTCAACTTGAAGAGAAATGTTTGCATTAGTCAGCTTTTGTTTACAGTCATTCAGGTCATAATTGATGTCCTTATGCAAATTTTCAGCCATGGTTAGGGAAACAGTACTATTAAGTTTCTCCAAATTCACTTTTCTAACAGTATCTATTCTACCAGCCTAAACTGGTAGAGTTTTTTAGCTTTGTCATAGTTAGCCTTATGTTTTATAATGATTAGTATTGATGGGAGAAAACAACCATCTTTCTTCATCAGTCTGTTAAACCAAATCTGCATATTTAAGAAGCTATTTATTCAAATGATTATTAATTTTTGGCAATAAGATTTTTAACTAGTACCTTTATGAAGAATTTCATGAATGTGGCCAAATGCTTGGGTCAGATTAAGCAATTCATTATTATTAAAAATAATATTTTTAATATCTTCACTATTATTTAGAGTTTTGTTAAGATTGGGCCTATGACAGGAATCTTTGAACTTGATGAATAATTGAATACATCTTAATGTTCTTGTTCACCTTAACATAGTCACTATAATTATTAGAATCATCTTTGGTGTCAATATCCTTCTGTTGTCCTACAGATTTGAGATTATAAGAGGCTTAAAATATGTAAATCAGCCATAAGCCAACCAGAAATATGACTTACTATGTTTTATTTCTTTGATGAAATTTGTGAGCCTTTGTGTAGAACCATCAAGATTCTGTGAGCCATGAACTCCTCATTGCTGGTTTCAAGAAAGTTACTGCCATTTACTTCTTGTTTATGCAGTTTGTATACAGTGGTATTGCTAAGCTCCAGATTCTTCTTTACATTCCACTCCTGCAGGAATATAATAAGTTCATTCATACTACAATTTTGGCAGTGAATTGAGACATAATAGTGGTAGGAGATGTAATCATTTTGTCATACTAGGCAGATGACAGAATAAGGCTATATTTATATTTTTGATTCATAATCTTTTTTTTTCTCATAACAAACAGGTTAAAGGTAGTCAAAAGTGGTATACAATGAACGATTTTAGCCAATAATTCTGATTATTGTTCTATCAATACAACAGATATTTAGTCCTTTATCACATACTATGAAGCTGAGAACTACTATTGAATTATGATCAAACTATAACAGAACTACTATTGAATTATGATCAACTATGACAGAACTATGATTGAATTATGACTGAATGGTGACTGCATGATGATTGAACTATGATGAACTGAAACTGGTATCTTATTGAACTTTAAATGAAAAAATATCATATGAATGATATTTTATGTCCTGGATGCATTCATTGTGAGACTATAATTCTCATAATTGATCAGAGTAGATAAAAAATGGAAAAGTGCCATAAAGTGCTATGTCAAATGGGATCACTTTTCAGATAGGTTAACCTGAGAATCCTATAAGACCTTGATCAAAAATTTGATTATATAACTGGTTTAC